CTTGCCACCAAGCAACTCCTTCATGGACTGCCCGCCTCACTTCCACAACCCCCCTCTCTTTCTGGTCCGCCTTGCTTTGACTGTGCACAGAGCAAGCTTCGGGAACAGCCCCATCCTCCCACTGAGTCCATCTCTACCGCACCTCTCGATCGCGTACACATGGACCTTTGGGGTCCAGCTCCTGTTCGTTCCCGTGGCGGACACTTCTACTTCCTTGTCATCGTTGATGACTATTCCCGCTATGTGTCCGTTCACCTTCTCACCGCCAAGTCTGAAGCCCCTGCCATCATCATGGAATGGGCCAGGCAGGCTCATTCACACTTCAAAACCAAAATCAAGTTTCTTCACTCTGACGGTGGCGGTGAATTCCGCAACAACACTCTCAAAGCTTTCTGCTCTACTGAGGGTATCAAACAGACCTTCACTCTCCCAGACAGCCCTTAACAGAACGGTGTTGCTGAAAGCCGAAACCGCATCCTGGTGCAGATTGCTGGCTGCCTCCTCACTCATGCTTCCGCCCCCCCCTCTCTTTGGGGATACGCCATGCTCCATGCTGCCGCCCTCCACAATCTCCATCCTCATCCTCACCACACCCACACCACCCCCGCAGAGCTGTGGACGGGTCAAAAGCCGTCCGTCTGCCCTCTTCGTGTATGGGGGTGCACTTCCTATGTCCTCCTCAACTCCCAAGCCCGTCGTGCAGCTGGCGGCAAGCTTGCTCCGAAAACAATCACGTGCGTGTACCTCGGGCACAACCTGGACTCACCAGACTACCTCTTCCTTCATCCTACCACCAACAAACTCTATCGCAGCCGAGATGTTTTCTTCGATGAATCCCACCCATTCTACCCCTCCTCCACAGTTTCTCCTTCTCCTCCTCCTCTTTCTCTAACTTGGGCTGACTTTGACAGCCTTCCTCCTGCCACCACTCCATCTCCTCCTCTTCCCGCTCCCTCCACAGTTTCAGACCCCCCGTCACCCGCTTCCCCATCCAGCACCACGCAGTCTCCCCCGCTCCTTCCCGCCCCCGAGCCCATTCCTCTCAAAACCTACCAACGCCGTCCTCCTGCTGCCGCTCCTGCTCCTGATCCACCTCCTGCTCCTGATCCCGCTCCTGCTCCTGATTCAGCTGATGCTCCTGATGCTGCCACTACACCTCCTGCTTCTCCTCCTCCAGCTCCGCATCCCTCCCCCATCGCTGGTCGCACCCGCTCGCACAAAGCTCCCAAGCCTCTTTCCCTTTCCATTCGTGTCTCTCTCAATCCTCCTCCTGTCGGGGGTGATTATTCGCTCATGCCCTCCCTTCTTGAGGACAGACATGAGGAGTTGATTGACAATGACTCAGCCATACACGCGCTCTGCTCTCTCTTTCCAGATTTCGCAGAATCTCCCACCCTCAACTTCTCAGACAACCCCTCCATCCCCACACCTCTCACCTATGCTGAATCAGTTTCTGGTCCTAACTCCGCTCAGTGGATAGGGGCCATTATCGCAGAGTGTGAGGCCTTCATTCACACAGGGACTTTCACAGATATCATTCCTCCCTCCGGCGTCAACATTGTGAAGGGAAAATGGGTTTTCCGGGTGAAACAACTTCCAGGCGAATTTCCTGTCTTCAAAGCCCGGTACTGTGCCAAGGGATTTACCCAAAAGCGTGGACTGGACTTCTTTGAGACATTCTCTCCCACTGCCAAACCTCCCACACTGCGCACCCTTCTCGATGTGGCCGCTCGAGATGACATGGAGGTTGACTGCATGGATGTGTCTTCTGCGTTTTTGCAAGGGATCCTTCGAGAGGAAATCTACATGGAGCGGCCCGAAGGATTTCCAGCTCCTTTTCCACCAGGCACTGTATGGAAGCTGAATCGACCAGTATATGGCCTCAAGCAAGCACCCCGGGAATGGCACAACAAGCTCAAGAGCACCTTAGGGTCCCTCGACTTTCACCCATCCACCTCTGACCCCAGCCTCTTCATTCGAGCAACACCATCCCGCTTCTTCATCTTGGTTTATGTCGATGACATGATCCTTGTCACCAAGGATCAGACTGAGCTGGCAGCAGTCAAAGCCGCACTTGGTGAGAAGCTGGCCATGAAGGATCTTGGGAAGCTGACGAACTATCTGGGCATGGAAATCACACGTGATCGCACTGCCCGCACCATCACCCTCTCGCAGAAGTTCTACATCAACAACGTTCTGACAAGGTTCAAGATGCAGGAAGCAGCTTCAATGCCCACCCCACTCTCTCTGCAGCACCAACTCACTGCACCCTCTATTCCCTCACCTGAGCCCTGCGATGAGGCTTACCCCGAGCTCGTTGGTTCCCTCATGTACGCGATGATGTGCACTCGACCAGACTTGGCCTATCCAGTCAGTGTCCTGTCTCGCTACGTTGCACCTGGTCGCTTCACGAGCCACCACTGGTCTGCCGCCAAGCGGGTCCTCCGCTATCTCAAAGGCACACAGGACTATGTGCTCACTCTTGGCGGCTCTTCCCCTGTTCGCCTTGAGGGGTACAGTGACTCGTCCTATGCTGATGACCAGAGTGATCGGCGCTCTTCCCAAGGGTATTGCTTTACCCTTGGCAGTGGGGTTGTCAGTTGGCGCTCCACTCGGTCGTCTTCCGTCTCACTGTCGACCTGTGAGGCAGAGCTGTATGCAGGGACCATGGCTGCCCAGGAGGCCCGTTGGCTCTCCTTCTTGCTGGCAGAACTTGGGTATCCTCAACCAGCCCCAACGCTTTGGTGTGACAACGAGAGCACCATTCACCTCACCAAGGACCCCGTCTTCCACGGCCGCACCAAGCACATTGAAGTCCGTCACTACTTTCTTCGTGAGCTGGTGCAGCGCGAGCAGCTGAAGGCAGAACACATTGCCTCCGACTGCAACCTTGCTGACTTGTTTACCAAGTCTCTTGTTCGCCAAGACCACTACCGCCTCCTCTCGTCCATGGGTGTTGGACCTCCATGTGGCTGAAGTGTTGTCAGCCTAGGGGGTGTGTTAGAAATAGTCAGTCAACACTTTGTACTATATTCTATATCGGTTAGGTTACTTTGTAGGTTGGGTGTAGATTTGTAATCCCAACCCTATCTGGTTGGGATTCCCTCGTAATCCTGCAAATCTGCCAACTCACCAATTGGAGATTTGCTAGGATTCCCATCCCATCCTCTCCCTAGCTTTGCTCAACCCAACCGTGTTTGTACTTAAGGCCTCGTGCCTTCCTTATCAATCAATCAGTTAAGTTCCAATTCTATCACTGATGCTGTGATGCTGATGCTGATGCTGATGCTGATGCGCTGATGCTGATGCTGATGCTGATGCTGATGCTGATGCTGAATCCTGATGCGCTGATGCTGATGCTGATGCGCTGATGCTGATGCTGATGCTGATGCTGATGCGCTGATGCTGATGCTGATGCGCTGATGCTGATGCTGATGCCCTGATGCTGATGCTGATGCTGATGCGCTGATGCTGATGCTGATGCGCTGATGCTGATGCTGATGCGCTGATGCTGATGCTGATGCTGATGCGCTGATGCTGACGCTGATGCTGATGCTGATGCGCTGATGCGCTGATGCTGATGCGCTGATGCGCTGATGCTGATGCTGATGCTGATGCTGATGCTGATGCGCTGATGCTGATGCTGATGCGCTGATGCTGATGCTGATGCTGATGCGCTGATGCTGATGCTGATGCGCTGATGCTGATGCTGATGCTGATGCTGATGCGCTGATGCTGATGCTGATGCGCTGATGCTGATGCTGATGCGCTGATGCTGATGCTGATGCGCTGATGCTGATGCTGATGCGCTGTTGCTGATGCTGATGCGCTGATGCTGATGCTGATGCTGATGCTGATGCGCTGATGCTGATGCTGATGCGCTGATGCTGATGCTGATGCTGATGCTGATGCGCAGATGCTGATGCTGATGCGCTGATGATGATGCTGATGCTGATGCGCTGACGCTGACGCTGATGCTGATGCGCTGATGCTGATGCTGATGCGCTGATGCTGATGCTGATACTGATGCTGATGCGCTGATGCTGATGCTGATGCGCTGATGCTGATGCGCTGATGCTGATGCTGATGCTGATGCGCTGATGCTGATGCTGATGCTGATGCTGATGCGCTGATGCTGAAGCTGATGCTGATGCTGATGCGCTGATGCTGATGCTGATGCTGATGCTGAATTGATGCTGATGCTGATGCTGAATTGATGCTGATGCTGATGCCGAATTGATGCTGAAGCTGATGCTGATGCGCTGATGCTGTGATGCTGATGCTGATGCTGATGCTGATGCTGAATCCTGATGCGCTGATGCTGATGCTGATGCGCTGATGCTGATGCTGATGCTGATGCGCTGATGCTGATGCTGATGCTGATGCGCTGATGCTGATGCTGATGCTGATGCTGATGCGCTGATGCTGATGCGCAGATGCTGATGCTGATGCTGATGCGCTGATGCTGATGCTGATGCTGATGCTGATGCGCTGATGCTGATGCTGATGCTGATGCTGATGCGCTGATGCGGATGCTGATGCTGATGCTGATGCTGGATGGGGGAAACTGATGGATGGGGGGAACTGATGGGGGAAACTGATGGGGGAAACTGATGGGGGAAGCGTATGGGGGAAACTGATGGGGGAAACTGATGGATGGAGGAAACTGATGGGGGAGACTGATGGGGGAAATCGATGGGGAAACTGATGGGGGAAACCGATGGGGGAAACTGATGGTGATGGGGATCGGGGTGATGGGGGTGATGGGGGTGAAGGGGGTGATGGGGGTGAAGGGGGTGATGGGGGTGATGGGAGTGATGGGAGTGATGGGAGTGATGGCGGTGGTGGCATGGTGGGGATGGTGAGAATGGTGGGGTCGCGCATACAGCCAAGCCAACCATGGGGACAACACGGCACGGCACGGCACGACATGACAGGGCATGGCAGGGCATGGCAGGGCATGGGAGGGCGAGGAGGGGGAGGCAGGGAGAGCAACGCACGGCCCAGTCGGACTGGGAGTCGCCGTGCTGCCCCGTGGTGCAGCGCGTGTGGTAGATGGCCTCTGCGATCGTTATCACCCGTGACGTCATGCCCGCTAGCAGCCTCTCCCTCGCCTGGTGGGCGCAGGCACACAAGCAGGATGGGAGGGAGGGGCGAGGGAGAAAGGGGGTGGGAGAGTAGTAGATTGTTGAGTGGTACAGGCACTGACCTCCAACTGTTCGGCAGTGGTATGGGCGGGGAAAGCGGGTGTGCATGCAAAGAAAGGAAGGAAGGAACGGACGCAGGCGGACGTGCATGTGTGCACGTGTGCGTTGGGCGTGTGCTGTGGCAGTGGCACGTGAGCGAGGAGGTGGAGGCGTATGAAGGCATGCCCGTCCCATGGACGACAGCAGCAGGCGTACCTCCATGAGCACGTTGACAGGCGGGTCCGCGTTGGGCTTGCTCTCCTTCACCACCGCCAGTGCGGCGCTCACTGGCATGCCCTTGGCTAGCACCAGGTAGCTGGATGAAAGAGGCATGAGAGGGACGCGAGAGACACATGAGAAGGGGCAGCAGGCAGGGCTGATAGAGGCCAGTGTGTTGCTCACGCACATGCCCTTGGCCTGCACCACGCAACAATGATATGATGCGGAAGCAATAGCAGCAATTGAAGATGAGAGTGAGTGAGCGAGTAAGCGAGCGAGTGAACGAGTGAGTGAGTGAGTGAGCGAGCGAGTGATTGAGTGAGTGAGTGAGTGAGTGAGTGAGTGAGTGAGTGAGTGAGGCACCGCACAGCAGAGGCTGGTGAGGCGGGAGAGTGAGTGAGAAGACCCACCCGAGGGCGATGAGGGGGGAGAGGCGGGCAGCTGAGGGGCAGCGCAGCAGCACCCTGTGGCCCATGGCTGCCAGCGCTGCCACCACGCGCACTGCCTGTGGTAGCATGGCTGCCTGCATGGTGGGAGGCGGGCAGGAATGGGCTATGAACGTGAGGGTGTGGTATGGGAAGGGAGGGCGGTGGAGGGGCAGTGCAGCAGCATGGCAGGGCTGCTGGGACTGCCACCACCCGCACTGCCTGTGCCAGCATGGCTGCCTGTCACAGGCGTCTCATGCGCCTTCCTCTTCCTCACCACGCATCTCAACTTCTCCATCTCCTCACGAAAACCACTGTGCCACACAGCCACCCCCCTTCCCCACCTGCTCGGCGGAGTCGGTTTCGCGAATGGGCACCCACACGGCGACCAGCCCCGCGTCCTGCAGCGCCCGCTTCTCCTCCTCCCACCCCGTGCCCCGCGCGCCGTAGCTCCCCTCCTCCTGCACCGCGCACGCGCGCACACACAGACAGCCACGATCACGCGAACATCAACCAGCGAACCACATTGACGTTAGCTGCCACTGCTACTGCTCACCGCAGCTACCAACCAGCTCAAGTCGCACGAGCGAGTACCGCGCTCACGCTACTGCTCACGCATGAAACCACGCGAGCGCGCACCTCGAGAACGACGACGGCGGTGATGCGCGCGTCCCTCGCGAGCGCGGCCACGGCGGCGGCGCTGCTGCTAACGGCCAGCGACCCCACCGCCACCTCATCCGTCACCGCCGCCCACGCCGACGCGGGTAATGCGCTCCCTGCCGTTCATTCGTACCAGGGACGAGAAGCACGGGGGCGGTACGAATAGCACGCGGCGCATAAGAAACGGGAACGTTCCGTCGAACAAACTTCGAAGATCGATGCTTTCCGTCTTATTTTCCGTTTTCTGCATGATTTCGAACGGAGATTGCACCTAACCGTAACGTTGCGTCAAGTTGTGTGCCTGCGCGCTTACTCGGTTGCGCGTCGCGGACTGCGCCGTTTGCGACGTCGGCGGAGACGGCGGAACCGACGGCGACCACCTGCGAGGTCCATCGACGCAACGGCTCGGATACAATGTCAGACCAACGCGCAACCGAATGCCTTTGAAATAAATGATTCCAACACCTAAATTCATGCATTATAACAAAAGTTGTCATAATCATTCAGTGAGGTATTACCTGAAGCCTGGTGCTGCTAGCGGGCGGTCTTCTGAAGGGAGGGCGGGAAGGCGGGGGAAGCGAACGAAGGGACGATATGGCAAGGAGGAATAAGGCGACGAGACTTGAAAATTGGGCATCGAGTGCGTGGAGCTTGAATTTTGAACGAGCGGGTAAGGAACGGCAGTCAAGCTTTTAAGGCTTGAAATGGATTGCAAGAAGTGCTGCACTGCGCAGGCGGAGAGTGCTTGCTTGCAGGAGGGCTGCACACCTGGTAGTGAGCCGTCGACGGGTCAGCGCGGGGAATACGCTTCGCCTGGCGGAATGCGACGGCCGCGGCGCTTTCGCTAGGGACTGCGCTACCGCTGGAACCGCACTGCCTCGTATTGGCTCCGACGGACGGGCTAACGAACTAAACCGCGACGACTGCGGTTGAGTATTGTCGGTCGGTATGCGAGGAGAGGAGAGTCCTTGCCGTAGGACGCCCGCCATTGCGAGGAAACCGCAAATGCGCACCGATAAGGCCGAGACGTAGGCAGCTAGGAGAAGCACGCAAGTGAAGCTTCTTTCTCCGCCAGCTGATCAAGCTCAGCCTCGGACTAATCAGATGCGAATCCTCCCTACGGCAGCTCCCACTCGTAAACGTTCCAGACCAGAGACAACCCAAACAGAAGCACTTTATCTTGAGCGCCTGACCGACTTACATGCGTGAGTTTTGTGCCACACAAATCACTCATTCATGCCCACCTTTCTGGAGAGCCGAGGGAGAGCAACCATGGCGGGAGGGACAATCCCTAGGGCTTGAAGGTCAGCCCTGTGTGTCCTGGTGCATCGTGCTTTTGCTGCGTCACTCTTGCGTGTCGCGGCTGTCGCTCCCGCTTCGTTCTGGTGAAGGTGCAATTCGCACAACCTTCGCGACAGTTCTTCTTTTCGCAATCCACAACATCCCTAGTGCCCGATGTGCCAACGGGGAATTGTGCGGCGGAGGCTCCAGAAACCCTTGATTTCGCTTTCGCCATTCTGTGGTTTGCTCTGGCTGAACGAAGTGATGCGAAAGAGGCTTAGGTGGTGGGCGATTGCTGTGAGCTGTCCTCTGTATCAGCTAATTGTGTGGCCTGGTACGTGGATGCTATGCCACGTGTACTGAAAAGGTAAAGATCCTGTGAACTGGGAAAAGAAGGCCGTTGGCGAGAGGTTACCCGTCGGGGCACGCGAAGAAAGCTGGCGAAGAAAGCGAGAGAAACATGATTTGAGACTCGGAACTTCTGGCGCGCGGATTTGGTCCCTCCCTTCCCGCCCTTCACCTTCAATATTCACACAGGCATGGCACCACATATTCCCCCTAGCCCACTTTTCCGCCAAGATTAATCCTCCGTTCTTTTGAATCTTCCTCAGTCTTGGGTCTTGTCCTGACACACTTCCGCAGCGGCTTGTTTGATGCAAGCCATAGTTGCTGACGGTGTCTGCAATACCTAATCGCCAGTCCTCCTTGTAGATTCTAGTCCTGTCGCACGGCATTCCTATCGGCACGTCGGTTCCTGCATTCAGAACGCCATGGCGCAGCTCATGCGTCCAGCTTCAATGTCACGCGCGAGCGTGTCAGATCTATCCTGCAGAAACCTGGAAGCGAGATTAGAGCCGAGCGCTGCTGCCATTAGACGACATGAACCGTACGGCTCGTTTCCTCGACCTCGTACCTTCCGGTTCCCCACTCCGATCAGCAGAAGAGCGTTATCCGTCAGAAGTGCCGCGGATTCAAGGTAGCGCTGAATCTAGGGTTTTGCCTTATGGTCCATTTGGTCAACCAGCCTTTGGCGCGCTCTCGGACCAAGGCGCGCGCCCGGACCAAGGCGCGCGCCCGGACCAAGGCGCGCGCCCGGACCAAGGCGCGCGCCCGGACCAAGGCGCGCGCCCGGACCAAGGCGCGCGCCCGGACCAAGGCGCGCGCCCGGACCAAGGCGCGCTCCCGGACCAAGGCGCGCGCCCGGACCAAGGCGCGCGCCCGGACCAAGGCGCGCGCCCGGACCAAGGCGCGCGCCCGGACCAAGGCGCGCGCCCGGACCAAGGCGCGCGCCCGGACCAAGGCGCGCGCCCGGACCAAGGCGCGCGCCCGGACCAAGGCGCGCGCCCGGACCAAGGCGCGCGCCCGGTCCAAGGCGCGCGCCCGGACCAAGGCGCGCGCCCGGACCAAGGCGCGCGCCCGGACCAAGGCGCGCTCCCGGACCAAGGCGCGCTCCCGGACCAAGGCGCGCGCCCGGACCAAGGCGCGCTCCCGGACCAAGGCGCGCGCCCGGACCAAGGCGCGCTCCCGGACCAAGGCGCGCGCCCGGACCAAGGCGCGCTCCCGGACCAAGGCGCGCTCCCGGACCAAGGCGCGCTCCCGGACCAAGGCGCGCGCCCGGACCAAGGCGCGCGCCCGGACCAAGGCGCGCGCCCGGACCAAGGCGCGCGCCCGGACCAAGGCGCGCGCCCGGACCAAGGCGCGCGCCCGGACCAAGGCGCGCGCCCGGACCAAGGCGCGCGCCCGGACCAAGGCGCGCGCCGGGACCAAGGCGCGCGCCCGGACCAAGGCGCGCGCCCGGACCAAGGCGCGCTCCCGGACCAAGGCGCGCTCCCGGACCAAGGCGCGCTCCCAAGGCGCGCTCCCGGACCAAGGCGCGCGCCCGGACCAAGGCGCGCGCCCGGACCAAGGCGCGCGCCCGGACCAAGGCGCGCGCCCGGACCAAGGCGCGCGCCCGGACCAAGGCGCGCGCCCGGACCAAGGCGCGCGCCCGGACCAAGGCGCGCGCCCGGACCAAGGCGCGCGCCCGGACCAAGGCGCGCGCCCGGACCAAGGCGCGCGCCCGGTCCAAGGCGCGCGCCCGGACCAAGGCGCGCGCCCGGACCAAGGCGCGCGCCCGGACCAAGGCGCGCGCCCGGACCAAGGCGCGCTCCCGGACCAAGGCGCGCTCCCGGACCAAGGCGCGCGCCCGGACCAAGGCGCGCTCCCGGACGAAGGCGCGCTCCCGGACCAAGGCGCGCTCCCGGACCAAGGCGCGCGCCCGGACCAAGGCGCGCTCCCGGACCAAGGCGCGCGCCCGGACCAAGGCGCGCGCCCGGACCAAGGCGCGCGCCCGGGCCAAGGCGCGCGCCCGGACCAAGGCGCGCGCCCGGACCAAGGCGCGCGCCCGGACCAAGGCGCGCGCCCGGACCAAGGCGCGCGCCCGGACCAAGGCGCGCGCCCGGACCAAGGCGCGCGCCCGGACCAAGGCGCGCTCCCGGACCAAGGCGCGCTCCCGGACCAAGGCGCGCGCCCGGACCAAGGCGCGCTCCCGGACAGAGGCGCGCTCCCGGACCAAGGCGCGCGCCCGGACGAAGGCGCGCGCCCAGACGAAGGCGCGCGCCCGGACGAAGGCGCGCGCCCGGACCAAGGCGCGCGCCCGGACCAAGGCGCGCTCCCGGACCAAGGCGCGCTCCCGGACCAAGGCGCGCTCCCGGACCAAGGCGCGCTCCCGGACCAAGGCGCGCTCCCGGACCAAGGCGCGCTCCCGGACCAAGGCGCGCGCCCGGACCAAGGCGCGCTCCCGGACCAAGGCGCGCTCCCGGACCAAGGCGCGCGCCCGGACCAAGGCGCGCTCCCGGACCAAGGCGCGCGCCCGGACCAAGGCGCGCTCCCGGACCAAGGCGCGCGCCCGGACCAAGGCGCGCGCCCGGACCAAGGCGCGCGCCCGGACCAAGGCGCGCGCCCGGACCAAGGCGCGCGCCCGGACCAAGGCGCGCTCCCGGACCAAGGCGCGCTCCCGGACAGAGGCGCGCTCCCGGACCAAGGCGCGCGCCCGGACGAAGGCGCGCGCCCGGACGAAGGCGCGCGCCCGGACCAAGGCGCGCGCCCGGACCAAGGCGCGCGCCCGGACCAAGGCGCGCGCCCGGACCAAGGCGCGCTCTCGGACCAAGGCGCGAGCCCGGACCAAGGCGCGCGCCCGGACCAAGGCGCGCGCCCGGACCAAGGCGCGCGCCCGGACCAAGGCGCGCTCCCGGACCAAGGCGCGCTCCCGGACCAAGGCGCGCGCCCGGACCAAGGCGCGCGCCCGGACCAAGGCGCGCGCCCGGACCAAGGCGCGCTCCCGGACCAAGGCGCGCTCCCGGACCAAGGCGCGCTCCCGGACCAAGGCGCGCGCCGGGACCAAGGCGCGCGCCCGGACCAGGGCGCGCTCCCGGGCCAGGGCGCGCGCCCGGACCAAGGCGCGCTCCCGGACCAAGGCGCGCGCCCGGACCAAGGCGCGCGCCCGGACCAAGGCGCGCGCCCGGACCAAGGCGCGCGCCCGGACCAAGGCGCGCGCCCGGACCAAGGCGCGCGCCCGGACCAAGGCGCGCGCCCGGACCAAGGCGCGCTCCCGGACCAAGGCGCGCTCCCGGACCAAGGCGCGCTCCCGGACCAAGGCGCGCTCCCGGACCAAGGCGCGCTCCCGGACCAAGGCGCGCTCCCGGACCAAGGCGCGCTCTCGGACCAAGGCGCGAGCCCGGACCAAGAGGCGCGCCCGGACGAAGGCGCGCGCCCGGACCAAGGCGCGCGCCCGGACCAAGGCGCGCGCCCGGACCAAGGCGCGCGCCCGGACCAAGGCGCGCGCCCCGGACCAAGGCGCGCGCCCGGATCAAGGCGCGCGCCCCGGACCAAGGCGCGCGCCCGGACCAAGGCGCGCTCCCGGACCAAGGCGCGCCCGGACCAAGGCGCGCGCCCGGACCAAGGCGCGCTCCCGGACCAAGGCGCGCTCCCGGACCAAGGCGCGCGCCCGGACCAAGGCGCGCGCCCGGTCCAAGGCGCGCGCCCGGACCAAGGCGCGCGCCCGGACCAAGGCGCGCGCCCGGACCAAGGCGCGCTCCTGGACCAAGGCGCGCTCCCGGACCAAGGCGCGCTCCCGGACCAAGGCGCGCGCCCGGACCAAGGCGCGCTCCCGGACCAAGGCGCGCGCCCGGACCAAGGCGCGCTCCCGGACCAAGGCGCGCTCCCGGACCAAGGCGCGCTCCCGGACCAAGGCGCGCTCCCGGACCAAGGCGCGCGCCCGACCAAGGCGCGCGCCCGGACCAAGGCGCGCTCCCGGACCAAGGCGCGCTCCCGGACCAAGGCGCGCGCCCGGACCAAGGCGCGCGCCCGGACCAAGGCGCGCGCCCGGACCAAGGCGCGCGCCCGGACCAAGGCGCGCGCCCGGACCAAGGCGCGCGCCCGGACCAAGGCGCGCGCCCGGACCAAGGCGCGCTCCCGGACCAAGGCGCGCTCCCGGACCAAGGCGCGCTCCCGGACCAAGGCGCGCGCCCGGACCAAGGCGCGCGCCCGGACCAAGGCGCGCTCCCGGACCAAGGCGCGCTCCCGGACCAAGGCGCGCTCCCGGACCAAGGCGCGCTCCCGGACCAAGGCGCGCTCCCGGACCAAGGCGCGCTCCCGGACCAAGGCGCGCGCCCGGACCAAGGCGCGCGCCCGGACCAAGGCGCGCGCCCGGACCAAGGCGCGCGCCCGGACCAAGGCGCGCTCCCGGACCAAGGCGCGCTCCCGGACCAAGGCGCGCTCCCGGACCAAGGCGCGCTCCCGGACCAAGGCGCGCTCCCGGACCAAGGCGCGCGCACGGACCAATGCGCGCGCCCGGACCAAGGCGCGCGCCCGGACCAAGGCGCGCGCCCGGACCAAGGCGCGCTCCCGGACCAAGGCGCGCTCCCGGACCAAGGCGCGCTCCCGGACCAAGGCGCGCTCCCGGACCAAGGCGCGCCCCAGGACCAAGGCGCGCTCCCGGACCAAGGCGCGCTCCCGGACGAAGGCGCGCCCCAGGACCAAGGCGCGCGCCCGGACCAAGGCGCGCTCCCGGACCAAGGCGCGCGCCCGGACCAAGGCGCGCTCCCGGACCAAGGCGCGCGCCCGGACCAAGGCGCGCGCCCGGACCAAGGCGCGCCCCCGGACCAAGGCGCGCGCCCGGACCAAGGCGCGCGCCCCGACCAAGGCGCGCGCCCGGACCAAGGCGCGCGCCCGGACCAAGGCGCGCTCCCGGACCAAGGCGCGCTCCCGGACCAAGGCGCGCTCCCGGACCAAGGCGCGCTCCCGGACCAAGGCGCGCACCCGGACCAAGGCGCGCGCCCGGACCAAGGCGCGCGCCCGGACCAAGGCGCGCGCCCGGACTAAGGCGCGCGCCCGGACCAAGGCGCGCTCCCGGACCAAGGCGCGCGCCCGGACCAAGGCGCGCTCCCGGACCAAGGCGCGCGCCCGGACCAAGGCGCGCTCCCGGACCAAGGCGCGCGCCCGGACCAAGGCGCGCTCCCGGACCAAGGCGCGCGCCCGGACCAAGGCGCGCGCCCGGACCAAGGCGCGCGCCCCGACCAAGGCGCGCGCCCGGACCAAGGCGCGCGCCGGACCAAGGCGCGCTCCCGGACCAAGGCGCGCGCCCGGACCAAGGCGCGCGCCCGGACCAAGGCGCGCGCCCGGACCAAGGCGCGCGCCCGGACCAAGGCGCGCGCCCGGACCAAGGCGCGCGCCCGGACCAAGGCGCGCTCCCGGACCAAGGCGCGCTCCCGGACCAAGGCGCGCTCCCGGACCAAGGCGCGCTCCCGGACCAAGGCGCGCTCCCGGACCAAGGCGCGCTCCCGGACCAAGGCGCGCTCTCGGACCAAGGCGCGAGCCCGGACCAAGAGGCGCGCCCGGACGAAGGCGCGCGCCCGGACCAAGGCGCGCGCCCGGACCAAGGCGCGCGCCCGGACCAAGGCGCGCGCCCGGACCAAGGCGCGCGCCCCGGACCAAGGCGCGCGCCCGGATCAAGGCGCGCGCCCCGGACCAAGGCGCGCGCCCGGACCAAGGCGCGCTCCCGGACCAAGGCGCGCCCGGACCAAGGCGCGCGCCCGGACCAAGGCGCGCTCCCGGACCAAGGCGCGCTCCCGGACCAAGGCGCGCGCCCGGACCAAGGCGCGCGCCCGGTCCAAGGCGCGCGCCCGGACCAAGGCGCGCGCCCGGACCAAGGCGCGCGCCCGGACCAAGGCGCGCTCCTGGACCAAGGCGCGCTCCCGGACCAAGGCGCGCTCCCGGACCAAGGCGCGCGCCCGGACCAAGGCGCGCTCCCGGACCAAGGCGCGCGCCCGGACCAAGGCGCGCTCCCGGACCAAGGCGCGCTCCCGGACCAAGGCGCGCTCCCGGACCAAGGCGCGCGCCCCGACCAAGGCGCGCGCCCGGACCAAGGCGCGCTCCCGGACCAAGGCGCGCTCCCGGACCAAGGCGCGCGCCCGGACCAAGGCGCGCGCCCGGACCAAGGCGCGCGCCCGGACCAAGGCGCGCGCCCGGACCAAGGCGCGCGCCCGGACCAAGGCGCGCGCCCGGACCAAGGCGCGCGCCCGGACCAAGGCGCGCGCCCGGACCAAGGCGCGCTCCCGGACCAAGGCGCGCTCCCGGACCAAGGCGCGCTCCCGGACCAAGGCGCGCGCCCGGACCAAGGCGCGCGCCCGGACCAAGGCGCGCTCCCGGACCAAGGCGCGCTCCCGGACCAAGGCGCGCTCCCGGACCAAGGCGCGCTCCCGGACCAAGGCGCGCTCCCGGACCAAGGCGCGCGCCCGGACCAAGGCGCGCGCCCGGACCAAGGCGCGCGCCCGGACCAAGGCGCGCGCCCGGACCAAGGCGCGCTCCCGGACCAAGGCGCGCTCCCGGACCAAGGCGCGCTCCCGGACCAAGGCGCGCTCCCGGACCAAGGCGCGCTCCCGGACCAAGGCGCGCGCACGGACCAATGCGCGCGCCCGGACCAAGGCGCGCGCCCGGACCAAGGCGCGCGCCCGGACCAAGGCGCGCTCCCGGACCAAGGCGCGCTCCCGGACCAAGGCGCGCTCCCGGACCAAGGCGCGCTCCCGGACCAAGGCGCGCCCCAGGACCAAGGCGCGCTCCCGGACCAAGGCGCGCTCCCGGACGAAGGCGCGCCCCAGGACCAAGGCGCGCGCCCGGACCAAGGCGCGCTCCCGGACCAAGGCGCGCGCCCGGACCAAGGCGCGCTCCCGGACCAAGGCGCGCGCCCGGACCAAGGCGCGCGCCCGGACCAAGGCGCGCCCCCGGACCAAGGCGCGCGCCCGGACCAAGGCGCGCGCCCCGACCAAGGCGCGCGCCCGGACCAAGGCGCGCGCCCGGACCAAGGCGCGCTCCCGGACCAAGGCGCGCTCCCGGACCAAGGCGCGCTCCCGGACCAAGGCGCGCTCCCGGACCAAGGCGCGCACCCGGACCAAGGCGCGCGCCCGGACCAAGGCGCGCGCCCGGACCAAGGCGCGCGCCCGGACTAAGGCGCGCGCCCGGACCAAGGCGCGCTCCCGGACCAAGGCGCGCGCCCGGACCAAGGCGCGCTCCCGGACCAAGGCGCGCGCCCGGACCAAGGCGCGCTCCCGGACCAAGGCGCGCGCCCGGACCAAGGCGCGCTCCCGGACCAAGGCGCGCGCCCGGACCAAGGCGCGCGCCCGGACCAAGGCGCGCGCCCCGACCAAGGCGCGCGCCCGGACCAAGGCGCGCGCCGGACCAAGGCGCGCTCCCGGACCAAGGCGCGCGCCCGGACCAAGGCGCGCTCTCGGACCAAGGCGCGCTCCCGGACAGAGGCGCGCTCCCGGACAGAGGCGCGCTCCCGGACCAAGGCGCGCGCCCGGACGAAGGCGCGCGCCCAGACCAAGGCGCGCGCCCGGACCAAGGCGCGCGCCCGGACCAAGGCGCGCGCCCGGACCAAGGCGCGCGCCCGGACCAAGGCGCGCGCCCGGACCAAGGCGCGCGCCCGGACCAAGGCGCGCTCTCGGACCAAGGCGCGAGCCCGGACCAAAGCGCGCGCCCGGACCAAGGCGCGCGCCCGGACCAAGGCGCGCGCCCGGACCAAGGCGCGCTCCCGGACCAAGGCGCGCTCCCGGACCAAGGCGCGCGCCCGGACCAAGGCGCGCGCCCGGACCAAGGCGCGCGCCCGGACCAAGGCGCGCTCCCGGACCAAGGCGCGCTTTCGGACCAAGGCGCGCTCCCGGACCAAGGCGCGCGCCGGGACCAAGGCGCGCGCCCGGACCAGGGCGCGCTCCCGGGCCAGGGCGCGCGCCCGGACCAAGGCGCGCTCCCGGACCAAGGCGCGCGCCCGGACCAAGGCGCGCGCCCGGACCAAGGCGCGCGCCCGGACCAAGGCGCGCGCCCGGACCAAGGCGCGCGCCCGGACCAAGGCGCGCGCCCGGACCAAGGCGCGCGCCCGGACCAAGGCGCGCTCCCGGACCAAGGCGCGCTCCCGGACCAAGGCGCGCTCCCGGACCAAGGCGCGCTCTCGGACCAAGGCGCGAGCCCGGACCAAGAGGCGCGCCCGGACGAAGGCGCGCGCCCGGACCAAGGCGCGCGCCCGGACCAAGGCGCGCGCCCGGACCAAGGCGCGCGCCCGGACCAAGGCGCGCGCCCCGGACCAAGGCGCGCGCCCTGATCAAGGCGCGCGCCCCGGACCAAGGGGCGCGCCCGGACCAAGGCGCGCTCCCGGACCAAGGCGCGCCCGGACCAAGGCGCGCGCCCGGACCAAGGCGCGCTCCCGGACCAAGGCGCGCTCCCGGACCAAGGCGCGCGCCCGGACCAAGGCGCGCGCCCGGACCAAGGCGCGCGCCCGGACCAAGGCGCGCGCCCGGACCAAGGCGCGCTCTCGGACCAAGGCGCGAGCCCAGACAAAGGCGCGCGCCCGGACCAAGGCGCGCGCCCGGACCAAGGCGCGCGCCCGGACCAAGGCGCGCGCCCGGACCAAGGCGCGCTCCCGGACCAAGGCGCGCTCTCGGACCAAGGCGCGAGCCCGGACAAAGGCGCGCGCCCGGACCAAGGCGCGCGCCCGGACAGGCGCGCGCCCGGACCAAGGCGCGCGCCCGGACCAAGGCGCGCGCCCGGACCAAGGCGCGCGCCCGGACCAAGGCGCGCTCCCGGACCAAGGCGCGCTCCCGGACCAAGGCGCGCGCCCGGACCAAGGCGCGCTCCCGGACCAAGGCGCGCGCCCGGACCAAGGCGCGCTCCCGGAACAAGGCGCGCGCCCGGACCAAGGCGCGCTCCCGGACCAAGGCGCGCTCCCGGACCAAGGCGCGCTCCCGGACCAAGGCGCGCGCCCGGACCAAGGCGCGCGCCCGGACCAAGGCGCGCGCCCGGACCAAGGCGCGCGCCCGGACCAAGGCGCGCGCCCGGACCAAGGCGCGCGCCGGGACCAAGGCGCGCGCCCGGACCAAGGCGCGCGCCCGGACCAAGGCGCGCTCCCGGACCAAGGCGCGCTCCCGGACCAAGGCGCGCTCCCGGACCAAGGCGCGCTCCCGGACCAAGGCGCGCGCCCGGACCAAGGCGCGCGCCCGGACCAAGGCGCGCGCCCGGACCAAGGCGCGCGCCCGGACCAAGGCGCGCACCCGGACCAAGGCGCGCGCCCGGACCAAGGCGCGCGCCCGGACCAAGGCGCGCGCCCGGACCAAGGCGCGCGCCCGGAACAAGGCGCGCGCCCGGACCAAGGCGCGCGCCCGGACCAAGGCGCGCGCCCGGACCAAGGCGCGCGCCCGGTCCAAGGCGCGCGCCCGGACCAAGGCGCGCGCCCGGACCAAGGCGCGCGCCCGGACCAAGGCGCGCGCCCGGACCAAGGCGCGCGCCCGGACCAAGGCGCGCTCCCGGACCAAGGCGCGCGCCCGGACCAAGGCGCGCTCTCGGACCAAGGCGCGCTCCCGGACAGAGGCGCGCTCCCGGACCAAGGCGCGCGCCCGGACGAAGGCGCGCGCCCAGACGAAGGCGCGCGCCCGGACCAAGGCGCGCGCCCGGACCAAGGCGCGCGCCCAGACCAAGGCGCGCTCCCGGACCAAGGCGCGCGCCCGGACCAAGGCGCGCTCCCGGACCAAGGCGCGCTCCCGGACCAAGGCGCGCTCCCGGACCAAGGCGCGCGCCCGGACCAAGGCGCGCGCCCGGACCAAGGCGCGCTCCCGGACCAAGGCGCGCGCCCGGACCAAGGCGCGCGCCCGGACCAAGGCGCGCGCCCGGGCCAAGGCGCGCGCCCGGACCAAGGCGCGCGCCCGGACCAAGGCGCGCGCCGGGACCAAGGCGCGCGCCCGGACCAAGGCGCGCTCCCGGACCAAGGCGCGCTCCCGGACCAAGGCGCGCTCCCGGACCAAGGCGCGCTCCCGGACCAAGGCGCGCGCCCGGACCAAGGCGCGCTCCCGGACCAAGGCGCGCTCCCGGACCAAGGCGCGCTCCCGGACCAAGGCGCGCTCCCGGACCAAGGCGCGCGCCCGGACCAAGGCGCGCGCCCGGACCAAGGCGCGCTCCCGGACCAAGGCGCGCGCCCGGACCAAGGCGCGCTCCCGGACCAAGGCGCGCTCCCGGACCAAGGCGCGCTCCCGGACCAAGGCGCGCTCCCGGACCAAGGCGCGCTCCCGGACCAAGGCGCGCTCCCGGACCAAGGCGCGCGCCCGGACCAAGGCGCGCTCCCGGACCAAGGCGCGCGCCCGGACCAAGGCGCGCGCCCGGACCAAGGCGCGCGCCCGGACCAAGGCGCGCGCCCGGACCAAGGCGCGCGCCCGGACCAAGGCGCGCGCCCGGACCAAGGCGCGCTCCCGGACCAAGGCGCGCGCCCGGACCAAGGCGCGCTCTCGGACCAAGGCGCGCTCCCGGACAGAGGCGCGCTCCCGGACCAAGGCGCGCGCCCGGACGAAGGCGCGCGCCCAGACGAAGGCGCGCGCCCGGACCAAGGCGCGCGCCCGGACCAAGGCGCGCGCCCAGACCAAGGCGCGCGCCCGGACCAAGGCGCGCGCCCGGACCAAGGCGCGCTCTCGGACCAAGGCGCGAGCCCGGACCAAAGCGCGCGCCCGGACCAAGGCGCGCGCCCGGACCAAGGCGCGCGCCCGGACCAAGGCGCGCTCCCGGACCAAGGCGCGCTCCCGGACCAAGGCGCGCGCCCGGACCAAGGCGCGCGCCCGGACCAAGGCGCGCGCCCGGACCAAGGCGCGCTCCCGGACCAAGGCGCGCTCCCGGACCAAGGCGCGTTCCCGGACCAAGGCGCGCGCCGGGACCAAGGCGCGCGCCCGGACCAGGGCGCGCTCCCGGGCCAGGGCGCGCGCCCGGACCAAGGCGCGCTCCCGGACCAAGGCGCGCGCCCGGACCAAGGCGCGCGCCCGGACCAAGGCGCGCGCTCGGACCAAGGCGCGCGCCCGGACCAAGGCGCGCGCCCGGACCAAGGCGCGCGCCCGGACCAAGGCGCGCGCCCGGACCAAGGCGCGCTCCCGGACCAAGGCGCGCTCCCGGACCAAGGCGCGCTCCCGGACCAAGGCGCGCTCCCGGACCAAGGCGCGCTCCCGGACCAAGACGCGCTCCCGGACCAAGGCGCGCTCTCGGACCAAGGCGCGAGCCCGGACCAAGAGGCGCGCCCGGACGAAGGCGCGCGCCCGGACCAAGGCGCGCGCCCGGACCAAGGCGCGCGCCCGGACCAAGGCGCGCGCCCGGACCAAGGCGCGCGCCCCGGACCAAGGCGCGCGCCCTGATCAAGGCGCGCGCCCCGGACCAAGGCGCGCGCCCGGACCAAGGCGCGCTCCCGGACCAAGGCGCGCCCGGACCAAGGCGCGCGCCCGGACCAAGGCGCGCTCCCGGACCAAGGCGCGCTCCCGGACCAAGGCGCGCGCCCGGACCAAGGCGCGCGCCCGGTCCAAGGCGCGCGCCCGGACCAAGGCGCGCGCCCGGACCAAGGCGCGCGCCCGGACCAAGGCGCGCTCCTGGACCAAGGCGCGCTCCCGGACCAAGGCGCGCTCCCGGACCAAGGCGCGCGCCCGGACCAAGGCGCGCTCCCGGACCAAGGCGCGCGCCCGGACCAAGGCGCGCTCCCGGACCAAGGCGCGCTCCCGGACCAAGGCGCGCGCCCGGACCAAGGCGCGCGCCCGGACCAAGGCGCCCGCTCGGACCAAGGCGCGCGCCCGGACCAAGGCGCGCTCCCGGACCAAGGCGCGCGCCCGGACCAAGGCGCGCGCCCGGACCAAGGCGCGCTCCCGGACCAAGGCGCGCGCCCGGACCAAGGCGCGCGCCCGGACCAAGGCGCGCGCCCGGACCAAGGCGCGCTCCCGAACCAAGGCGCGCTCCCGGACCAAGGCGCGCGCCCGGACCAAGGCGCGCTCCCGGACCAAGGGGCGCTCCCGGACCAAGGCGCGCTCCCGGACCAAGGCGCGCGCCCGGACCAAGGCGCGCGCCCGGACCAAGGCGCGCGCCCGGACCAAGGCGCGCGCCCGGACCAAGGCGCGCTCCCGGACCAAGGCGCGCGCCCGGACCAAGGCGCGCGCCCGGACCAAGGCGCGCTCCCGGACCAAGGCGCGCGCCCGGACCAAGGCGCGCGCCCGGACCAAGGCGCGCGCCCGGACCAAGGCGCGCGCCCGGACCAAGGCGCGCGCCCGGACCAAGGCGCGCTCCCGGACCAAGGCAAATGCCCGGACCAAGGCGCGCGCCCGGACCAAGGCGCGCGCCCGGACCAAGGCGCGCTCCCGGACCAAGGCGCGCTCCCGAACCAAGGCGCGCGCCCGGACCAAGGCGCGCTCCCGGACCAAGGCGCGCTCCCGTACCAAGGCGCGCTCCCGGACCAAGGCGCGCGCCCGGACCAAGGCGCGCGCCCGGACCAAGGCGCGCGCCCGGACCAAGGCGCGCTCCCGGACCAAGGCGCGCTCCCGGACCAAGGCGCGCGCCCGGACCAAGGCGCGCTCCCGGACCAAGGCGCGCACCCGGACCAAGGCGCGCTCCCGGACCAAGGCGCGCTCCCGGACCAAGGCGCGCGCCCGGACCACGGCGCGCGCCCGGACCAAGGCGCGCGCCCGGACCAAGGCGCGCTCCCGGACCAAGGCGCGCTCCCGGACCAAGGCGCGCGCCCGGACCAAGGCGCGCTCCCGGACCAAGGCGCGCTCCCTCACCAAGGCGCGCGCCCGGACCAAGGCGCGCGCCCGGACCAAGGCGCGCGCCCGGACCAAGGCGCGCGCCCGGACCAAGGCGCGCGCCCGGACCAAGGCGCGCGCCCGGACCAAGGCGCGCTCCCGGACCAAGGCGCGCTCCCGGACCAAGGCGCGCGCCCGGACCAAGGCGCCCGCTCGGACCAAGGCGCGCGCCCGGACCAAGGCGCGCTCCCGGACCAAGGCGCGCGCCCGGACCAAGGCGCGCGCCCGGACCAAGGCGCGCGCCCCGGACCAAGGCGCGCTCCCGGACCAAGGCGCGCGCCCGGACCAAGGCGCGCTCCCGGACCAATGCGCGCTCCCGGACCAAGGCGCGCTCCCGGACCAAGGCGCGCCCCCGGACCAAGGCGCGCGCCCGGACCAAGGCGCGCGCCCGGACCAAGGCGCGCGCCCGGACCAAGGCGCGCTCCCGAACCAAGGCGCGCTCCCGGACCAAGGCGCGCGCCCGGACCAAGGCGCGCTCCCGGACCAAGGCGCGCTCCCGGACCAAGGCGCGCGCCCGGACCAAGGCGCGCGCCCGGACCAAGGCGCGCGCCCGGACCAAGGCGCGCGCCCGGACCAAGGCGCGCGCCCGGACCAAGGCGCGCGCCCGGACCAAGGCGCGCGCCCGGACCAAGGCGCGCTCCCGGACCAAGGCGCGCTCCCGGACCAAGGCGCGCGCCCGGACCAAGGCGCGCGCCCGGACCAAGGCGCGCGCCCGGACCAAGGCGCGCGCCCGGACCAAGGCGCGCTCCCGGACCAAGGCGCGCTCCCGGACCAAGGCGCACGCCCGGACCAAGGCGCGCGCCCGGACCAAGGCGCGCTCCCGGACCAAGGCGCGCTCCCGGACCAAGGCGCGCGCCCGGACCAAGGCGCGCGCCCGGACCAAGGCGCGCGCCCGGACCAAGGCGCGCTCCCGGACCAAGGCGCGCGCCCGGACCAAGGCGCGCGCCCGGACCAAGGCGCGCTCCCGGACCAAGGCGCGCTCCCGGACCAAGGCGCGCTCCCGGACCAAGGCGCGCTCCCCGACCAAGGCGCGCTCCCGGACCAAGGCGCGCTCCCGGACCAAGGCGCGCGCCCGGACCAAGGCGCGCGCCCGGACCAAGGCGCGCGCCCGGACCAAGGCGCGCGCCCGGACCAAGGCGCGCGCCCGGACCAAGGCGCGCGCCCGGACCAAGGCGCGCTCCCGGACCAAGGCGCGCTCCCGGACCAAGGCGCGCGCCCGGACCAAGGCGCGCGCCCGGACCAAGGCGCTTTCCCGGACCAAGGCGCGCTCCCGGACCAAGGCGCGCTCCCGGACCAAGGCGCACTCCCTGACCAAGGCGCGCTCCCGGACCAAGGCGCGCTCCCGGACCAAGGCGCGCGCCCGGACCAGTGCGCGCTCCCGGGCCAGGGCGCGCGCCCGGACCAAGGCGCGCTCCCGGACCAAGGCGCGCTCCCGGACCAAGGCGCGCGCCCGGACCAAGGCGCGCGCCCGGACCAAGGCGCGCTCCCGGACCAAGGCAAATGCCCGGACCAAGGCGCGCGCCCGGACCAAGGCGCGCGCCTTGGTCCGGGAGCGCGCCTTGGTCCGAGAGCGCGCCTTGGTCCGAGACCATTTTGCCAGAACTCCATCACAGAACCCTCAAACCAACCGTGCTGTTCCTGCTTCTCCTCCCGTCCGTCCCACCTTTCAAACACCCAAACCCCCAACCTGCAGCCAGAAGTTCGCTGGTCTGCCCTCTGGTCTCGACCAATCTACATGGGACCCAACCCGGGACCTCGCACTCCCCGTGCCGATCACAGCCTCGGATCCCATGCCTGGCAAGGCCGTGGCTCGGGCGGAGGTTCGGAAGAGGCTGGGGCTGCCAGTGATAGACTCGGCATCGGGGTTGGAGCGCGCAGTGGTGGCGTATGTGTCGCCGCAGATAGGCGAGGCGGATGTGGAGCTCATCAAGGGGGCGCTCGCATGCTCCCTCGCCTACCAGGCCCAGGTGGGTCAGGCTGTTTCCCCCTTCCATTTCCCTCGCCCGTCCCATCCTGCCCTCCGTCCTGCTTCTCTCGTACCGTTCTCTTCTTGAGAATTCGCTCACTCCCCTCTCTGCCCGCCGTTGCTCTCCCTGCCCTCCCTCCCCCCGTTCCCGGTGCAGTTTGTGCTGGTGGGGGCAGCACGCTCGCCCAAGGTGCAGATGGCCCTTGAGGAGTTGCAGAGGGTGCAGCAGGTGAGGAGATGGGTGCAGAGCGGTGCAGCAGGGGTGGTGTTTCGTGCAGAGGGGAGCTGAGGAAACATGGCTTTTGCTCGAGAGGGGGCACAGGGAGGGGTGTGAAGGAGTGAAATGGCTGAACCGTGCATCTAACAGCTGTAATGTAAGGTGTGTCTGTCCGTGCCGTCTCTCTCCACCCCTCTGTGCCCGCCACCCATCAGGACCGCAATGCACACCTGGAGATCGTGTACGAGGACGACTTGGCACACCTGGCTGTGGCGGCGGCGCAAGTGCTGCTCTGCCCCGCCCTCCGTGACCCCTCCTCACAAATGCCGGTCAGTGCACCCACCCCACCTTTAGAGACCCCCTCACACATGCTGGTCAGAGCCTCTCGTCCCTGCTTCCCCTCCTCCCCCTCCATCCCCATCCCATCCGCCCACCCCATTTGCATTACGCCCTCCTTTCCACATCCCACTCGTTTCTCAGTTCTCCTTCCACGTCCTTCATTCTCGTGTGCCACTGTGGTAGCCAATGCCTGCCTTACCTTCTCCAACCCCCCCTGTCCTCTTCTGTACCTTCACTTGTTGCCTCCTCTATCCCCCCCATTCCACTCACCCTCCATTCTTCCGATACCTGTGTATGCTGCAGCTGGTGGGGGCGCGCTACGGGGCCGTGCCTGTGGCCCGCCAACTGATGGGATCACCAGACAGGTCAGTCACACCAGCATGGACGGTACAGCTGGCAGTATAAGATTCGCGCAGACTATACAGCGGGCAGGGCGCGTACACTTGGATTATAGAACGGACAGTGGCAGTGACTTGTTGGAATATCTTCCAAGCCTGTCGACACGTCAGAGGTTCCAATCTCTATGCACCGTTGCATGCTGCCTTGCCTCGTCCCTCACCTCCCTCCCCCCTCGCACTGCCTTGATAGTGAGTGCACTCTTTTCTCTGACCAGTGCATGTCAAATCAGCATGCCGCATATCTCCCTCCCACTCCCTCGCACTCCCTCCCACTCCCTCCCACTCCCTCCCACTCCCCCCCACCAGCCTAGTGGACGTGGATGACCCGCGCCGCGGTGCCTCAGAGGGAGCAGGTTTCTTCTACGCCTCCGACAAGCCGGCTGACGCTGTCATCGCCCTCACCCGCGCCCTCAAGCTCCTCGTGAGTGCTGCTGTCAGGCCTCCCGCAAGTGGCATTACTCTTTGACTTGCAGCTGTGCTTTGTTTTTTGCACATCAGCTTACCGCTCACATTCATTTGTGCACTTGTGCCATGTCGTCAATGCTCCCCTCGTGATGCGCAGAAGGCCGATCCGCAACGGTGGGAAGCAATCACCAAGACGGCAATGTCGGTGGATACCAGCTGGGATGCCCGTAGCTCCGATGCATATGTTGATGCATATTTGTCCATCAGGCGCTGCTAGCAAAATTGTATTACCGTATGCGATGTAGGTGTGCCTGCATGGTGGTAGAAGAGCCAACCTAGGAAGGCGAGTTAGGGATGTATGTGATTCCTGGTTTGCTGCTGCTTTGCAAGCATGGCATTGCATGTGTAGTATAGTTGCTATCTTATGTGTGAAATTATCTACTTGTGTGTGAAGCTGACACAATCTCATTCTCTCTCAAGTTCTACTGCTTATGTCGCGGCAGGAACGCCCGCTCTGACTAGTCTCGAAATCAGAGTTGGCGGAGTTTCATGTCAGCTGATCAGTTTACGTTGGAGTCGCGTTGCCATTTACTAGTCGACTAGCACTCATCAGACCCAACAGAGGGTCGCGTTGCGGGATCCCACGCAGTTGGCAAAAAAACAGCTTTGTCGCTCATTCGGTATAATAGTCGTCGTGGCGCCTCTGCTGCTATGGTATGGACTGGTCGCCGCAACTGCCGGTCGCCACTTCCTCGTGTTTTTGCCCTAATTCCTGATCATATCCACACCCATTCGTGTCGATACTGCTGCTTTCGCGCAGATCCGGTTTATTCTTCTTCAGAATCGGCAGGGGAAGACGCGCCTGGCCAAGTATTACGTTCCGCTAGAGGACTCCGAGAAGCACAAGCTAGAATTCGAGGTACGCCAGATTCAAACCATACCGTTCGGACGATACGTACTTTACTAGACACCTATTTGTCCAATACGGGATGAATAGGCTGGAACGGACGGGTGGAATCCCAGAGTCGCGTTATGACGGGTCTATCTGCACGGTAGAACGAGAGCGCTATTGCCATGTGACCCTTCACCCTTGACCTTCCTAATTCACCTTCTCCTTCCCCTGCATGTGCTATTGCCACCCTACCCGCGACTTCCCTGCGTCAGGTTCACCGGCTCGTGGTCCATCGTGAACCTAAATTCACAAACTTTGTAGAGGTATGCCTACTGCTGCTCTGCTGGCCTGTGTTCCCTGTTCTTCCTCCCTTGTGAACCTGTACTCTCGTGTACTGCGTGAATCAGCAGAAGCGACTGTTCGTTCCCCCCCATTAATGCCATTCCCCTCATTCTCCCATAACTTTGATCCCATTTCCTCCAAATCTCCTCAGTTCCGGACGTACAAGGTGATATACCGGCGCTATGCGGGCCTCTTCTTCTCGCTCTGCGTTGACCTCACGGACAACGAGCTGGCGTACCTCGAGAGCATCCATCTCTTTGTGGAGATCCTAGATCACTTCTTCAGCAACGTCTGCGAGCTTGACCTGGTCTTTAATTTCCATAAGGTATTGCTTTTTTTTTCAGGTTGAGATTGGAACTTTCTGTCTGTACTCCATCATCTCATTGCTCTACTACTGTTTCTGATCAACCGATATCCTCGCATTGTGGTGTTTGTGGCTTGTCTGCAGGTTTATCTTATCCTTGACGAGTTTGTACTTGCGGGGGAGCTTCAAGAAACAAGCAAAAAGGTGTCGTGTTGTGTCATGTATTCGTCATCATGCTACAAACGCCTGTTTGTTGTTTCCTGTTCTCTCTGCATGCTTTCAAATCCAAATATCGCTGTCCTATTGCACCATGCAGGTTATTATTGAAAGGATGGCAGAACTGGATAAGGCCGAGTGAGGGTATGAGGTATCATATTATGGATTGGTTCTGCTGACACCAAGACTACACTCACTTGTATCTATCCGACCCGTCTACATGGCATCACATGACCTCATCTTCATGTTGTTACCGTAGTTCCAGCTTCCCATTTCGAATCCTTCATGCGGTGCAGAATGATGAACACATGGCACACTAGTTGTGATTATAGAAACCGTCTGTCTGCAGAGATCATGTTCCAAAACAAGGAGAGGAGGTGATGGTGATGTTGTGAAACCTGAAGGTGAGTGGCAGACCTTGTACCGGTAGCAGGTTGCAATGGACAGGCCTATGTTACCATCGTGCTTCTTTGATATTAGCGCCTGTAAATGTATCTGAAAATGGAGATTCACTCATGGTGAGGCTGGGATGAGTCAACCATACCAGGCTTCTTCAAGTCAAGGTACTGGAATGTAAAATTCCGTAGCTTACCGTAGGTTATATGAAGAAATACGAATATTGTTCGTTGCAGTACCTCAAAATTTTCCTCGTCCCCCTCTAACGAAGGTAGCGCTACCTACTGGTCCACCTTAGGATCTCCTCCTCATCCCACCTCACCTACCTTTTGACGAATCGCACCGCATGTGATTGGTCGATAGAGGGGCGTCCACCCCATCTCCTTGCATGACGCTTTCCGCAACCCTGCATTGCGCCAGGCCCCACTTCCGCGAACCGACTTACGGTTCAGTTCGGACCGCCCATGAAGCAGCTGGGGGGCCCCCCCCAAGAGAAGCCCTTTCATGCCACGTCATTGGTCGGGCTGCTGTGAAGGTCAGCGACCCATCGCTTCGGTCGTGACTCCCGACAGCCTTGAAATTGGCTGGACTGGACGAGGCTGGTTTGGTGAGCTGGCTGGGATGAAGCCGAGGCCTGGAAACTTGTGGACTCTGTGGTTTGGTGGAATCGAGGCTCCAATCTAGAGGAGGCAGGCCAGGGCAGATGGAGAGGGGAACCTAGATTCTGGTCTGGCGGGCTGGTTGGTTGGTGCCACCAACTTGGCGGGGATTCCGCGAGGCGAGAGTTGTGCTGAGCTGAGCTGGTGGTGACGAAGAGTGGTGGAGAGGTGCGTGAAAGAGCGTGACGGGCAGAATAGATACTCCTCCTAAACCAGTCTCCTGCTGGGCTCTGCTCTGCGCCGTTCTGCTGTGCTCCCTGTGGCCATTTAGCTGTTAGTTTTGAGATGAGCAGACAGACATGTCTTCCGTACGTTCGATATGATAACCTCGCCTCGCCTTGCCTTGCCACTCCACACACACCACACCACAAGTTGGGAGAACCGTGACAAATCACAGCATTCTCAGTGGACTGGTTGAGCGCCCTCCACGGTGGCTATTGTTCTTTCTGCTTGTTGAGGCAAGAGGGCTAGAAGATCCGCTTGTCGCTGCCGCTCAAACCAAACATCCTGGTCATTCTTGTTTCGCTCTTCTATCCATTCCTTTCCACCAACACGACATTGAATCCAGACCAGGCTCCCCCTAGATGCAGCTCATTAGGCGAAGCTTGAAAATTGCTTGATCTGTTAAGTTGCTGTTCGGACGGAAGTTATGAAGCGGCTCTTGCACCACACCACAGATTCGATAGCGTTCACGCCGAGGAAGAAGCAGCACGTAACCAGCATTCCGAGTGGTAACCAGCAGGGACCGGGTGTTAGAGTTCCTGTGGGGACATCGCAGGCCACTGATTCGCTGTTAGGCTTTCGCCCGTCTTCGCCTAGAACTGTTCTCTCGGCTGACTCGGTAACCCTGTCGCGCGGTTCGACGTCGGTAACTATTGAGTCCAATACCGAATCCAGCGTTCTCCAGCCGGAGCTGGAGGTAACGAGCCCCGCGTTCGGCGCTGACAAGGGATGTAGCGTCGCGGAGTTCACCGATCTGAGTTTACGCGAGGAAGAAGGTGACTGTAGCGATCCTGCGCGTGACTATACCGAACGTCACATGGTGTTTTCAGAAGGCACGGCGGGTGTCACAGTATCGAGCACTAAGCGTGCGAACAACGAGCGGGACAGTGAAGGAATGTGGAAGTTAGCCAAGCGGCGATGCGTGGCCTTCGATTGTGTCACGCTTCCCCATCTTCCTTCATTAGGGGAACCACGGATGCAGCCAGACGTGCGAAAACCAGACTTCCCATGTCCCCCACCAACGACAGAACCGACCAGCCGAAGCACCAGGAGCGAATCTCCCAGCCCAGTATCTCTTCCTCCGTCAATCCCTCTCACGAGACCGCTACCATGTCCCACAGCTACCGATCTCCCGGTTCTCTCATGTCCTTTAACGCGGTTCAAGCGGCAGCGGCCGCCGACTATAGATATCCCGCGTAAGGGCTGCTTCACGTCATCGCCGGCCGGCACGCCGGATTCGGCGGCGGAGGATGCGCTGGACGGCGTGGTGGAGGTGGCGGAGAGCGGTGCGTGCTTCGCGGTGGCGTGCAAGCGAGGACGGAAGGCCGTGATGGAGGACACGTACCAGGCGCTCATGGGGTTCGCCGGGCGCGAGAGCGATGTAAGTGTCAGGGGGGTCGGGGTTATCTGCCCTGCATTTGCGTGCCATGGACATCAGGCGCTGCTGGGTTTCGCACGGCGCGAGAGCTATGAGCGTGGGGGAAAGGGTCGGGGTTGTCTATTCCACGCGTCATGGGTACGCGGGTCACGGAGATACGCGTCACAGATTTTTCACGTCTGATTACCGCTCTGAACCACACCGTTCTGCGTCCCGCTGCAGGCGTTCTTCGGGGTGTTTGATGGGCACGGCGGCACAGCAGCCGCCAAGTTCGCGGCTTCCGAGCTGGCGAGCCACGTGGCGCAGGCAGCCGCGCGCACAGGGGCGCACGCGAGTGCGGCTGCGCTGATGGAGGGGTACATGGAGGCGGACAGGCGCTTCCTGGACCAGGTGCGTGTGAGGATGGCCGGGTGCTTGCTTGCTGTCTTGCTGAGTGCCTTCTGCCTTGTTGATGCCTTGTTCTTGCGTGCTATTGTGGCTGGTTGCTTTTCTACCTTCCTAGCGTTACCGATTTATCTGCTGGCACTTGCCACATCTTGTTTCGCCCCACCTCACTTCTCCCCATCGTCCCTTCACTGCGCCCCTCCATCATCTCTCTCATCACTATCCTACAGAACGTCACCAGTGGCACCAGCTGTCTCACCTGCTGGGCCACGCCTGGGCGGCTTTTGCTGGCGCATGCGGGCGACTGCAAGGCGGTGCTGGTGAAGGGGGGGAGAGCGGTGGCGCTGACGGAAGACCACCGGGCGAGCAGGGAGGACGAGCAGGCCCGCATCACCAGCCTGGTAGGTTCTTTGGATCTAGACATTCCAACTGCCCCCCTCCCTGTCACTGGATCCAGCAGCGCCATGCTTAGCATTTCCTGTGGAAGGATCTAGTCTAAGGAGAAGTTGGTTCCCCACTTGACTTATTTTTGTGCTGCTCCTCCCGCCCATGTCTCCTCGCCCGCAGGGTGGCTTCGTGGACACGGCCACGGGCATGCCCCGCGTGCAGGGCATTCTGGCAGTGACGCGGGGCATGGGCGAGCGGTTCAAGCGGCAGCGGCCGCCGACTATAGATATCCCGCGTAAGGGCTGCTTCACGTCATCGCCGGCCGGCACGCCGGATTCGGCGGCGGAGGATGCGCTGGACGGCGTGGTGGAGGTGGCGGAGAGCGGTGCGTGCTTCGCGGTGGCGTGCAAGCGAGGACGGAAGGCCGTGATGGAGGACACGTACCAGGCGCTCATGGGGTTCGCCGGGCGCGAGAGCGATGTAAGTGTCAGGGGGGTCGGGGTTATCTGCCCTGCATTTGCGTGCCATGGACATCAGGCGCTGCTGGGTTTCGCACGGCGCGAGAGCTATGAGCGTGGGGGAAAGGGTCGGGGTTGTCTATTCCACGCGTCATGGGTACGCGGGTCACGGAGATACGCGTCACAGATTTTTCACGTCTGATTACCGCTCTGAACCACACCGTTCTGCGTCCCGCTGCAGGCGTTCTTCGGGGTGTTTGATGGGCACGGCGGCACAGCAGCCGCCAAGTTCGCGGCTTCCGAGCTGGCGAGCCACGTGGCGCAGGCAGCCGCGCGCACAGGGGCGCACGCGAGTGCGGCTGCGCTGATGGAGGGGTACATGGAGGCGGACAGGCGCTTCCTGGACCAGGTGCGTGTGAGGATGGCCGGGTGCTTGCTTGCTGTCTTGCTGAGTGCCTTCTGCCTTGTTGATGCCTTGTTCTTGCGTGCTATTGTGGCTGGTTGCTTTTCTACCTTCCTAGCGTTACCGATTTATCTGCTGGCACTTGCCACATCTTGTTTCGCCCCACCTCACTTCTCCCCATCGTCCCTTCACTGCGCCCCTCCATCATCTCTCTCATCACTATCCTACAGAACGTCACCAGTGGCACCAGCTGTCTCACCTGCTGGGCCACGCCTGGGCGGCTTTTGCTGGCGCATGCGGGCGACTGCAAGGCGGTGCTGGTGAAGGGGGGGAGAGCGGTGGCGCTGACGGAAGACCACCGGGCGAGCAGGGAGGACGAGCAGGCCCGCATCACCAGCCTGGTAGGTTCTTTGGATCTAGACATTCCAACTGCCCCCCTCCCTGTCACTGGATCCAGCAGCGCCATGCTTAGCATTTCCTGTGGAAGGATCTAGTCTAAGGAGAAGTTGGTTCCCCACTTGACTTATTTTTGTGCTGCTCCTCCCGCCCATGTCTCCTCGCCCGCAGGGTGGCTTCGTGGACACGGCCACGGGCATGCCCCGCGTGCAGGGCATTCTGGCAGTGACGCGGGGCATGGGCGACGCGCACCTCAAGGCGTTCATCACGCCGCAGCCGGACGTGGCACACGTGCGCGTGGGAGCGGACTGCAGCGCTCTCATCCTGGCTTCTGATGGGCTCTGGGACGTGGTAGCGCCGCAAGACGCTGCTGACGTGGTCATGGCTTGTGTTGGCACGGCATTGGAGGCACGGGCAGCAGCGGGGAAAGCGCAGGCAGCAGAGAGGGAGGTGGGATTAGCAGGTTCTGCACTGCTGGGTCCGCCTGCCTCTCCCCCGTGCAAACGGGCATGCACGCAACGCAGACAGGGCTGGTCAGCTGAGCCACGGCAGGAGAGGGAGGGGGCGAGGGAGAGGGAGAGAGAGTGTAGGAAGGTTTTCAGCAGCCCGCTTGGCACACCACCCTGCACACCACGCTCGCACGCAACCTCCACCACCCCTCCTTGCACCCCCCATTCCCGCGCCTCCTCCACCCCACCTGGCATGCCCCGCCCACCCATCCTCAACACTGCCACGACCACCACCACTGCCACCGCCACCGCCACCACCACCGGCACAAATACTTCCACCACTACCACCCCACCCACGCCCCGCCGCCTCTTCTCTCCTCACTCCATAGCCCGCCCTCCTTTCACACCTCCGTGGCTCGATGCCCCGTCCGAACCGGCTGTATGTGTGGGGCCACACGCTGTAGCAGCTGAGGGGCCAACTACTGTAGCACGATTTCCACAAGGAAGTGTAGCGGTTCTGGTAGACAATGAAGAATCTGAAGGTGATGGGAGCAAGAAGGTTGAAGGGACTTTCCCCAATGAGATGGGCAAGGGAGATTGCAGTGGAGGTGGGGTTAGTGAGGAGGGAGGGAGTGAGAGAGTGACAAGAGGGGTGGATGGGGAGGTGCTACTGAGTGCGTGCCAGGCATTGGTTGGCATGGCAGCAGCACGGGGGAGTAGGGATGACATCACCGTCATGCTTGTGTCACTTGCCCCATTTGCTGAGTCAGCAGCATCTTAGGTTCCTGCTGACTCAAATCAAAATGTTGCTGATGGCACTGGTTGGCATCAGCTGGAAGTATGAATAGCAATTTAACTTGTATGTGCACTTGTACCTAAAGCTGCTGGTCAGTGTGACATCCCTGACAGACAAGACAATAGATTGAACTCTCAGCTGCCCACTACCCAGTTCACAGAGGCAGGTGCAAGGGAGTTGTGTGGTAGCCCAAGAAACACACTGAATACTCATAATAGTACACTCCAACACTACAATACAGGGGCACTACCGGTTATTTTGGTAAAACCAACACAACCACTCCTACAAACTTAGCAGCCCTATTTAGACTATCATACCCTACACTATCTAAACATCTAGATCACTCCAATCTACACTACAATTTTGGCGCATCCTACAGGGTTATGCCATCAGAAAAAAGAGCAACCAGAACCCTCCAGGGCCTCCGGTCTAAAGCTGCTAGATTGCTTAGGAAGATTAGCGCAGCAGGGCCACGGAAGCAGTCGCATGTGCTTCGAGCCGCGCGTAGCTGGCATGGCATAGCACGGCAGAGCACGGCATGACGCAGCGTAACACGATACTGTGGGATAGAAGGGCTCGCTTTGTACCTCTCACCGCCCTGAGTGAGAATATCAGTGACCCGTGTGAAAGCTGTTGAAGTCAAGTAGTTGCGGTGAGCGAGGGGTGGAGAGGAATGGAGGGCGGTTGCAGGAATTGGAGGTAGTTGAGTCTGGCTGTGTAACGCTGCAGAGAGTTCCCAATTTATTCAAAATTGCCTCGTGCAGGAACTGAGGCGTGCCTTATCGAGGCATGGAAGGGAGGAGTAGAGGCCGAAGGAAGGGATGATTGGAGGGGGATGGCGGGTGGGTGAGCCCCGGTGGAAGGAGGGAGGCGCAACGTGCAGCATGCGCTAAGAGCACCACGTCAGCATGCGTTAGACGTGCGTCAGCATGCGTTAGAAGTGCGTCAGCATGGGCTAAGAACACGTCAGGAGGGCGCCAGGAAGTGCAACAGGAGCTGCAAAGTTAGGAGACACAGCAGCACCGGGAGCAGAAGCCAGTGCAGCAGCAGGAGCGGGAGGAGCAGGTAGAGACGCAGCAGCAGAGGCGGAGGCGAGCATTGAAGGTTGCCCGGGGGCCCTGGCCGCCATGGCCTCTCTCTCCACCGCCTTCTTGTGACACCTGCCGGGGGCAGAGGTGGAGGAGGAGAGACAAAACCCGAGTGGGGCAGAAAAAAAAGGGCGGTCAGGGAAAGGAGGATCTCACGAAAGGCGTTAAACGCGACGGGCATGAAGGGCCGGCGCGTGCAATAGAAAAGCTTGCAAAGTGTACAAAGATGATGTGTCCCACGTTTACTGTCAGGACGTGCCACGTGGCCTCACCTGGACTTGCCGTGTGTCCGCAGCGTGCTCCGCTGCAGGTCGACGGCGCCGTCGCGCGTGAACGGCGTGGGCTCGTCCGCGCACCACCGCAGGCACAGTGAGCACCGCATCGCCTGCCGCCCGTCCGCGCGCACGTGCAGCTCCGCCCAGGGGAACGCCGCTGTTGGGGAGAAGGCGGAGGGGGGATGGCGGGCGCGGAGGAGAGGGGCGCAGGAGAAGGGCGGAAAGAGGAGGGGAGGCAGAAAGGGTAGCGAACACGAAAAGAGGAGGGAACAAGGGGAGAGGAGAGGAGAGGGGGAAAGGAAGGGGGAGAACTGTTATGACCTAGTGCCAACGCGGAGTTAGCAGGGTGAATGCGGGATGCTAAGAAGCTTCGAGCCACAATACACACAGCCTTCCTCGCAACGCATCACACGCAGAATGCGAGCAACGGGCCACGTCAGCATCGCCTACTACCCGTGCTGCCCATTTGCAATTTACGTCTCGCTAGCGCTGCCACATTGCATTTGACTTACGCCGCCATTTCTCGGGTCGCCAGCAGTGCTTCGGCTTCTTGTTCGGCGACGCGCCGCTCCCCTTCTCCCCCCCGCATGCACGAAACGACTCTCCCTCCATTGCGGTCAGATCCCTTTTGCCGCATTTCACGGGCTCGCTGTCGAGAAGCTGAAGCGCATTGGACGGCAGAGATCCATTCGCGGCGGCAGGTGTTTCCAACGACTCCACAGCCGTCGGAACGGCGACGGTGCTCGCGTCTGCGAAGTTCAACGACAAACCTCGTACCACCGGCCTTTTCTCGCCAACGTTTCGCCACGGCGCCATTCTGACCTGCGACGCAGTAGGCAGTGCGAGGCACGGCCGTGAGTTGTGGGGCGGGGACGTGTGTTGCGGTGGCGCGGGGAAGAGGGAGAGGCGCAACGCGCAGTCCGCCTCGCGCGCTGCTTGGCGCTCGAACCCTGGCGAGATGGGCGAGGAGCGCTGAGACGTCGGCGGGGTGGGGGACGCGTCGACAAGGGGCGGAGCGAGCGAGAGGCGAAGCGAGCAGGGGGCATCCTCTTTATAATGCTCTTCGTTGTCCGCTTTGTGGTCGAGGCTCGAGTTGGCGGAAGACGACGACGAGGGGCAGGCCTTGCGGACGTGCGACACGGACGACGGTCGATCACCCGTGAACGTGGAGGGACGATCGGCAGTAAGGGGCGAGGGGAGGTCGCATCCCGCTGTCGACGGCGCTGGGCCGATGTGCCTTGGAGGGGTTATTTGCAGGGATGGTGCTACCAGGTGAAACGCGGAGCGTGCATTGCAGCCAATTCGCACGTGGTGAGGTGAATTGGCGCTATTTTCTGCTCCGCTATTCACCGCCCTTCTGTTGGCTGCCCCAATAAAGCCTGATCCGCAATTGCCCACCCTAATGCCTACCCCTCTACCATTCTCTGTCTCGCTAGCGTCTACTGCGGAGGTTGCGGAGCTAGAAGACGAGTGACGTGGAAAAGAAAGGCCCTTTCCGGCCGAACTAGATATCAGGTCCAACCCAAAGGCGGGAAGATTATCGTCCGTGTCTTCCATAGCACCTACCAGCACTAACTCTGGCTATCTTTGAATCAGGCGGTGAGTTCGGAAAATGAAATGGTGGAGATCAAGGGAACTTGGTATGACGAGGCTGGCTTTGCCGCCAGTGCTGTGGCCAGGCGGCTGATTGAAAAGGCGACTGAATATCTAGCTGCAGTGCTTTTGGTGTGGAGACCTGAGGGTTCCGAACAGATTGCCATAACCCAAGGGTTCACCTTTCTCTAGCCCTTGCTTTTGGTCGAGGAGGCTGATTCGCGGCGCTCGCGAGGCGTCCCACACTACTGCGGGGAAAGGAACTCATCTGCGGCAGAGAAGGAGCCAGCAGAGGCGCGTAACGCTCGCGGGTGGTTCAGCTGTGCTGGGATGAACCATCCGTAGTCGCCGCAGCAGGCACTGGATGGGAGTGAGAGGCGGGGGAGTGGCGACGAAAATAGCAAAGGGAGAGGAGAAACGGAGAGGCGCAAAATGTCAAAATGTGGGTCCGAGGCGCGCGCTGGTAATCACTGTGCAACGCACCCTCCTGCTTGCCCCGCACTCGCTGCCCCAACGTAGGGCGATAGCTGAAAATGCGCGGCGCATGTGATTTTTGCGACAAACGGAATGGCGAAAGTAAATCGATCGTCAGTGGTTAATGACTGTCGCCTCGTGCTGTTCTGGTTGGCGAAACATCGTAGAGTCGTTACACGAGCCCCGACTGCTATGGATGCGTAGGGGCCATTTCGTTCATGGAGCATCGACTGCACAGCTTCGTGACTTCGCCGAATCGCCACGAAGCCAGTGGTCCTCGAGAGCGGCTCGATTGAATATGCCACGTGGAGGGCGCAAGCAGCAGCCAACGAAACTCCGCCAGCACGTCAAGACTCTGACATATGTCTGACACATCAGAAAGTCCAAGATGTACGCGATCATTGCACGCTCGCTAGCGAAACCATGCATCTACAACAGTACTCTACCCTGTTATGTCGCAGTGAATGGTGTAATTCGATTTCCTTCGTATACACATGCAAAAAAACCTAGAAAGTTGGCGGGAAGCCTTCCCTTGAACTTGACACAAACGCGGGGAAACACTACTACTAGTGTCCTAGTCTTGGCAGTGCCAAATTCGTGAGCAATAAAATGTACACGAGGACGTCGTCATCGGGCCTGCACATTTAGCACGATAACCGCGTTGCGAGGCCGTCTTCTACCTCTTCAGATTCGGCAGTGACAGCGAGAACGCGAAAATCCGCTCCTGTTTCCGAATCGCATGCGATGATCAACTCGTGGTTTCAGGGTGGTCCTAGCTTTAGAGATGAGCCCGTGTCGCTCATGGATAGCTGGCGGGCGTATGAGGCCCAGGGTGGTGGATTAGACATGGAAAGTGGCGAGGGTGCGTCGTCGTCGGGAGCAGGTGGCGGGGGATCTTCAGGAGGTGCAGTAGCTAGCGGGATTCCCGGACTTAGCTTCGACGCTTTCACCCCGTATTTTCAAAACGCATCGGACTCCGTCAATGCCACATGGTCTAGGTGAGCAAGCCGTATGTTTGCGACTTGCGAAACAGTCCAGGTTTTAATGCGCTACAGTAATGATGCCAATCACTTACTGTAATCAGCACAAGCGGGACCCACTGGATTTGATCCCTCGCGTCATCCCTTCTCTTTCCCTCTCTCCCTTGCGTTCCCTCACCCGAAACCCCTAGTGTGTCAAAGAACGTGCAGGAGTTGCCGGGAAGCATCCAGAAACAGGCGAACGTGCTGCCGTCGCGGAAAGCTCTGATGTACTTCATGCTGGTGATAGCGACGGGCGTGTTCTTCCTCTTCCTCGCCTTCTCCATGTTTCTCCCGGTCATTGTGCTCGCGCCTCAGAAATTCGCTGTCTGCTTCACCATGGGCTGCCTGCTCGTGGTGGGCTCCTTCTTTGTGCTCAAAGGACCCATGGTGCAGCTCCAGAGCATGACCTCCGCTGAGGTATGCCGTGCGCTTGCACCAAAAGTATAAAGTTCTGAGTTGGAGAGTCCTGTTATGACCTCTTTTGCTTTGTCTTCATTGCCCCCCTTGCAGAGGCTCCCATTTTCGTTGTTCCTTGTTGGGAGCATGGTCAGCACAATTTATTGCTCAATGGTTCTTCACTCTTATCTGCTTTCAGTTATATCGTCTGGAGCACAGGTACGTAGACTGGCATCCCCGTTTTCAGAATCGTTGATGCTTTTTGTTTCGTAGCTCCAGCTTGTAATCAAGCTGATGTGCCATACAAGTTGATTCGATATGCCACTCAAAAGTGCAGGATAGCTATATTGAGTTTCTGTGTATGTTGTTTGGTTGCATTGTGCTACAGGTTCTTGCTCTTGTTTATTACGTCGTGTCTTTCTTCCCTGGCGGCACCACTGGCTTGCGCTTTCTCACATCCATGTTCACATCAGCTGCTTCCAGCCTAATGAGATAATATACTCTAGTTGCATAACCTTTTAAAGTCATACGGTAAGTGCTGTAATGTATGCTGTATTTGGAGTTGTAGATCTGACTTCAATGCATGAACTGGATAACGAAGTAGGGATGACGGTGTTGCCACGTGGTTGCGCTTTGTGGTGAAAAGTTCTGTTGGTGTCTGACAGCATAGCCGTAAGATCTGCGACGTGCGTTCGCGAGATACAACGAGGCGTGGTTTCCCGTCGTTGTGTATTTGTACTTTCGCAGTGTCCTGGAGTGCTGGATGGCGTCAAATCAAATACATCTGTTGCAACGGTTCAGCACATCATCACTACCGTGCATTTCTCACTACTACATTTTAGGACGGCGTTAGGAGGAGATCGTAGGCACCAGCCGTCTGGAAGACTCATAGATAACTCGCGCAGGTACCTAAGTTGTCATCGAGCCGTGATTCGCGACAAAGAACCGAACTTTTGAGGAGAGATTCCTGCAGGTGCCGTGCACATAGTCATCATGGCAGCCATGGGGTGTCAAGCAATGATGAAGGTGCAATACCCTCGAATGCCACAGAACTGCGAGCAATGCGAGTCCCGCTGGTGTAATATCCTCACACGTTACCCGAATGCCATGCATTTTCTGACTTCGATTCATCCGTCGTAGACGCAATGCTCTGTCGTTTCAACTCCTATGTTCTCCTCGTTTTCCCGCTCTGCTTTCCCAGTCGTTCCTCGTCAGCACCACTCTCAAGAATGGCGCCGATTCGTTTCACTCACAAGCCACCAGCCGACCAGCGTCACATAGCCGTCGCAGCTCGCCGCGTCTGGCGGTGAGAGCGGCGGCGAAGACGGCGGATGATCCGGCGGCGAAGGCGCTTCAGGCGAAGTCGTTAGGCGAGCTGCGGGCGATGGCGAGGGAGAAAGGGTTGCGCGGAGATACCAAGGCAGAGCTTGTCAAGTTACTCCTGCAGTAAGTCCACCATATATCGATATAATTGTGCCACCAGAAAGGAACTAGCAATGAAGGTTTGAGCACGTGGCAAACACCAGCTGTTAAAGTACTGTATAACGCATTCAGCAGCTCATTACGCCCGCCAGACATTGTCGCCGGCTGAGTGTGCACTTGCTCTCGCCCGTCCTGTGATCATTTGTCATTCAACCAACCCACACGTAACGACCCGTCATGTAATCACCCCTCGAGTAACCACAGCTCGGGTAACCACCCCCGTATAACTACCCACTGTGTGACCCTCCTTCAGGACCCAGCCGTCCTCGTCATCCCCCGTGCACCCGTCCGCAGTGATCCCTCCCCCTGAATCGACGCGCAGACCCACCACTACAGCCCCCACCGCCGCCAGCAGCACTGCCAGCGGGGCTTCCGGCGGCAAGGGCGGCAAGGGCGGCAAGGCGGAGGCGGCGAAGGCGCTGGAGGCGATGAGCACGGCGCAGCTGCGGGCCATGGCGCGGGAGAAGGGGCTCCGGGGCGACACGCGCGCCGAGCTGATTAATCTCCTCGTGTAAGGCGTAGTAATGCATTGTAGAGTGAAACCAGTCATCACACCTATTGTAAACCAGGCTGATGCATCCCCGCTGTAGGCCACAGTGACGCATGCCCCAATAACCATCCCTCCCATCATCTGCTCTCTCTCCCCTCTCCTGCTCCTTCCCTTCATCCTCTCCCTTCCCCTCATCCTCCCCTCCCCAGAGCCGCCCTCCCCGAGTCCGCCAAGCCCACCTCAAACGCCTCGGTCATGCCGCGGCCTCTCCCCCCATCCGCCTCGCCTGCTGCTGCAGCAGCCGCCGCAGCAGCCTCTGGGGACGGCAACGGTGCGAGCAGCAGCAGCAGGGAGTCGGAAGTAGCAGAGGCGGAGGTGGTGCTGCCTCCCTTTGCCTCGGACATCCCCCCTGGCGGCGTTTCCATCAGCCAAGTGCAGGTGAGGTGAAGACAGGCAGGATGGGACCTCGGAGTACTGGGATAAGGGGGGAAGGGAGTCGGGGAGGGAGACTTGGGAGGAAGCTGGTGCATGGCTGCTTGAATGGCGTTGTGTTATATTCGGCTCGGTCGTATCAGCGCTTTCAGCCCTCTCAGCACTCTCATCCCCGCACCTTTGTCTTTCCTTCTCATCCCTTCACCCTGAAGCAGCCCAAGGTGGGCAGTGGGGCGACGGCAAAGGAGGTGAAGGAGGCGGCAGCGGAGCTGAAGCAGGGGCAGTTCGTGCGCTCCGTGCTCATAGGCGGTTTTGGCCTCGCCCTCGTGCCTCTCGTGCTGCCTCTCGCCCCCATGAACAGACTCGTCCCAGGCTCGCCTGCTGAACAGGTACGTCTAGGGAGATTGATTCTCGAAGGGGAGTTGACCGATGTGTTCAGAAATAGTAACACAATGGAAAGCAGGTGAGTTAGTTCCGGCACCAGCACATTGCAGCGCTGCAGCAGCAGATGCCACAGACTAAACTTACATCTGCATTCGCCCAGCCCCCCTCACGTTGCTACCAATACCAATTTTTGCATCCGGGTTCCATCCATCCCTCCTGCTTCCATCAGCTGGCAGCGCAGCTAGGGGAGGAGGCGACAGTGCTGCTCAACTCACTGCTGGACACGCAAGCTGTCACAGTGAACCAGCTGCAGGCGCTCATGCCTCTCATCTCGCCAGACCTGGACCCCACCACACGGGCTGCCAGAGCTGCTTGGTTCTGCCAGCAGGTGCCTCCGGCTGCTCGCTCGGAACAGGCGGAGAAGTTTTGCAAAACGGTTGCTCAGATTGGCATTCGGGCATCTGCTCAGTGATTCATTGCCACACTCCCCTGCAAAAAGGGCATGCGGGAAGGTGATCAGTGGTTTGGTCGATCCATTGTGTGGACAATGAGACCCCTTTTTCTCGTCCGCTTTGCGGGGCATTGCTTTCAAACGTAGACCTACTTCCACTGCTCGAGAAGCTGAGGTTGACAAGACGGCCCAAGATTGGGATGCATCAGCATTTGGGAGCCATTTTTAAATCTCGCCACCCTTCCTGTGCGGAGGTCGAGTTGATGCTAAACATACACTCAAGGTCTTGAATATATTTATCTCAGAAGCAACGCATGTGCTCGGCATTGCTTCGTACTGTGATGTTTGCTCTTGCAATGTGTCCCTCTTTTACCATATTACCTTCCATCAGCAGTTGGAGGTACTGGTCATTGATTTCTGGGTGATGAATGGCAGTGTAAGTGCCTCCTTGGCAGCATTGGAGACTGCAGAGATATCATAACAAGGATAAACAGATGTGAAAGCATAGCACCTCCTGTTATACCTTTGTTCCTTGTTCTGGGCTAAATAGCTCATGACTATTAGGTACTTTTACTCATTAGTCGCTGAACGTTTTCTGTGTACTAATCACTTCTATTTGGAGGTGGATCAAGCAGGCATTTGGCGTGTGGATGTGCCACCATGGCACATGCTCGGAATTGGAAAGCGTCTCCGCTCATCCTGTGGATGCCATTCGTGGCGCTGGAGAGCACGAAGGTCACGCACTGCGAATCTGAAGCATCGCCAGAAGCCACATCGCATGGTAAGCAGGTGGAGGAAGCTGACTGTGAACCTGTTTCACCAATCCCGTCATCAAGGAAGTGCCACATCATCTGATGTCCCGCCCACAACAGAGGCAAAACATGCGGCGTCATTGCGCCCTACGCGCACACGAAATCCATGCCATCTCCTCCCCCCAACGCCTCTCTCTCACCAATTCACTGTTGCAGGATTGCCGATCACCACCGACTTCGGGAAGTGGGGGACGAACGAAACGCACCAACCGTCGGCGCAGGTCCAACCTGCTTGGGCCGTGTCAGCTCAGCAGGTGCGTGTGTGCTTGCAATTGCACGGGTGCGCTGGCATACAGCAAAGCCTCGCTGAGATTTCCCTCGGCAACGCAGAACCGTCCTTCACTCTGCAGAATGCTAGTCCCACCCAACACAACGCCGCGTGACTACTTTGCTTCAGCGCAACTTTCTGGTTCTGTTGGGAGGCCACGCCACACCACCTCAGATCCCCCTTTTCTCTAGAATTCCGTCCGACTACATCAGACCCTCCACCCCTCCACCCTCCCACCGTCCTCCACCTCTTTCCCCCAGACTACCTTCCTCATCCCTCGTGGAGTTCAGAAAAGTGGATTGATGAGCTCCGTGACATATCAGATAGCTCGCTCTCTATTCTGCAGATTGGCTTCGCTCCATCACTTGACACTCAACTCCTTATCTCTACCTGACTAAAATCGGTCCCCAGTGCACCTCAGTTCGCCGCAACGACTAAAGGTTTTCACACGCTTTCGATCACTCGAGGGTATGGAGTGCTCAGATGCTTTGCGGTTATCAGTAGGAAGAAATCTAACTCTTGGGCCTTCATGGCAAACCCAACCAGATGGCTCTGACTCAAGGTAGCTCCATATCTCCTCTGCCAAAATTCGCATATGTTTTAGCATCTTGTAGCCTGCTTTCGCCGGTGGCGATAACATAATCTCCCCCTCTGGTGACATTTTCTTCGAATCGTTTCAGAAGTGGAGGAGCTGGTCACGGTCGTCAAATAGACAAGGATAGTGTGGTCGTCAGAAAGAGGTGAGTTCCAAACTTATCGCACCTTATTCATGCAAATCTTTCCCGTTGAGAGTTACAGTTATTAAACTAGGAACCTTTATTGGGCGTGCAGGCCTCGAGAAGAATCTGCGAAAGACCTGCTATGCACGAAAGCAAGTCGCGAGAAAATGCGACGTGATCGCTTGAACGACAGGTTGGTGTGCGACGCGAGAATCTCGTTCATCTGTTTTTTTCGCCTCAACTACGTTGCTGGCCTAATTGCATAAAGGATGCAGCCAACTGACTCAATGTATTATGTGGTGCAGATTTCTTGAGTTGGGGAAGGAGCTCGACCCGGATCTGCCTCCCAAGACGGACAAAGCCGTGATCCTGAACGACACAGTGAAGCTTCTGACCCGATTGAAAGAAGAGGCGATTGCCTTGACAGAAGGCAACCGGCAACTACGTGACCAGATAAAGGAACTAAAGGTAGTTCCCGGGCTTCTTCCTATTTCACCTTTTGTTTACCTTTTCTGCGCATGTATTCTACGGGGTGCAAGAATTGCCCTCAAAGAAGGCATTTATTGAGTATCGCCCTTTTTTACCCCTCCACTCCGTTCTCCCCTGTCTGCCGTGCAGGTCGAGAAGTCGGAGCTCCGCGAGGAGAAGTCACGGCTGAAGGCTGAGAAGGACGCGCTGCAAGGGAAACTGCATTCGTTGCCTGCCACTGGTTGCTTCACATCCCAGGCAGCAGCAGCAGCGGCATCAGCTGCACTGCAAGCTGCAGCAGTGGCGGCGTTTTCTGGTCAAATCACAGCCAAACCAGCAAACTACAACCCTGTGCTTTCTGTGCCTCCGCCTCCCATGGACCCAGCGGTTCAAAACACAGGCATGTGGCAATGGTTGCCCCCCAATGCTGCCGACATCTCCAGGGATCATATTCTTCGCCCTCCTGTTGCTTGAAAGCATGTGTGCATCATGCGATTTTACATGGTGCTCCATGCATCGCTTACGGCGTGAGCCATGCCATGCGAAGCGGTTCCACACAATGATTTCTTTGCACGAGCTGGGTGCAATGCAAGTTGCACTTCCAAGTGCAGCTGACCAAGGTCAAAGCAAGCAGGGGGGGCAATGAGTCTGCTCTCATCAAGGAGATGGTGCTGTGTGCCAAGCTCTCCTTGCAGTTTTTGCGATTCTCAATGACACATGCCATCTGCGACATACTGCAGGGCAAGCTTTATTATCACAAGTCAGGAAGAGTGGACAGGTACATAGTCAGGTGCATGTATCACATCTGTATGTGCAGGACTGTAGCTCCATTGCAGTTGTACATTAGAAGAATATTCTTTTTGTTGCCAGCAAAATGTGCAAGCATCCTCTGCCTGTGCGCTACGCCGGCCTCATGCTGCCTCACCTCAGCCAAAACAAGGTGTCAAAATTCTACATCCCGTAACTACATAACAATTTTCGAGACTACCGTACGTAGCCCCAGTGTCTCACACTTCACAGGCATTATCCTCACACTCTAACGACCCCCACCGCGAAGAGACCCTCTTGCATGGAAACTCCGGCTTCTTCAGACTGGAAGGGGCGAATATGCACAATGGGAAGGGTGGTACTGTAGCATACGAATTTTATTTTCATGAGGGCGACGTGTTGAAAAAAAAATGAGGCACCATGCGGCACACCACTGGGATTAGTGAAATGGTATGACAAGGAAGGAGCGTGGCAAGGTCAGCGCAGGTACCTGCGGTTGACGATGTTGTGCAGGCGGCACATGTACTGCTCCAGCTCCCCCCTTGACCCTGCCTGAGGAGGATTGGCCCTGGAGTGGAGGAATAGGAAAACAGGAAGCACAGAACGGGCTTAGTAAAGACAGTCTATACAGGGAAGAAGGTGATTACAGAGTAGCAATGTGATACACGTGAGTAAGCGGGCATGGAAAAACATAAAACCTCACTTGACTATCTTTTGAAAGTGGTAGGAGCAGATTTTGCAGGGGTAGACGCGGGCAAGGAGAGTCACCTGCAGGAGGAGTGAAGAACAGGAGAAAGAATGGTGACAGGTGAGAGATGAGAGGAGAATATGGGTGATCACAGGCGTGAATGCACCCAACTTCATAGAAAAAAACTAAGCGAATATGTGCCTACAAAGAAGCATGCCCACAGGAAGCAACGCAGTCAACTAAGAAAGAACAATCCAGAGCAGCCACGACCATGCAAAAGGGAGAGAGAGCGGAGAAGCATACGAGAAAACAGGTTGTTGCTGCAAAACTCACAAATTCCTTGGCGTCCTTCTGTTGCTGCTTGCTTGGCTTCTCCGGAAACTGCAGGACGACCAGAAAGTGGGGGAGGAGGAACAGGGGAGTTTGTGGAGGTATGCACATTGCAAATGTAAGTCACCATGTGCGACTGAGCTCCGCAGGAAACCTTTCTGGAAAATCCTTCGACGAAACTCCCTCACAGGCGCTCTGCCCCCACCCCACCACCCTCGCCACTCTACACCCCTCTTCACCTCTCCCACACCTGAGCCGCCAGCGTGTGCAGAAACGTCCACGTGGCGCGCCCCAGCTCCTCCTTGGTCGCTGGGCCCGCCTCCTGCGCTGCCTGGTGGAAGAGGGGAATTGGCGCCAAGTGACAGTGGGAGTGAGGGCAGGGTCAGCAGCCATGGTCATGCCAATTCAGATGCTCATAGACCTCGTATTATGCACCATGCATCCGGATTCACCAGAGAATTACAGTCCAAGGTGTGGTTCTGCGTGGGGGCAAGACGTAGCAGCACGCATGAAACAGCAACGACACCGCTCCCTTGACCCAACAGGGTGGCACCTTCATGAGGAAGTCCGGGGCAGGGCCCGCCCACTCCTCCGCGCCGTCCGCGCCCATCCTCGCCCCGCCCGCCTGCTGCTGCCTCTGCTGCCCCGCCTGCCGTCGCCCACCCGGGCTGCTCACCACAACCGCACCAGCACGAGCACCACCAGCACTACTAGCACTACTAGCAGCGGCAGCAGCAGCAGCAGAGGAAGGGGAAGAGCCGTCGGCGGCGAGAGGAGAGGGCGGAGGGGGCCGCAGGAGGGCCGCGAGGGCGCCGTCATCATCTTCGTCGTAATTGTCATCGTTGATGTAATCCAACTCCTGCTCAGAAACACACAGAGAGAGCGTTACAGCGGGTTACATTGTAACGCGAATGGAACCGGCAGGCGCGAGGAAGTGAGGGATAGTGGTGGGATGGGAAAGGAGAGGAGAGCCGCGCAACCTCGAATCTCCGTCCGTCGCGTGCCTTGAGCGCACTCCCAGCCAGCACCGCGCCTCCCTCGCGCCTTCCCCTGCCTCTCTCGCTGTCCACGTCAGCCTCCGCCCCACTCACGCGCTGCCTGCCTGCGTACGTCGCTTCCATCGCGCGCGACAGAGACGTTCGAATCGTCGGCAGCTGATTCCGTCGCGCGTCCGTCGCCGACCCGTCACCGTCGTACGCTTTACTAGACACCAGAACTAATCCTTCGTTATTCCCATCAGCGGCAGGAACTCTACGCCGCCTGGGTGCCTTAGGCTCTAAAACAACCTCTTTGGGTCTCCCGCCGCTGATAACGGTCTGCAGAGCTCTAAGCGGATCGGGCAGCCGAAATCCGCCAGCCTGCCCGTCAGCGGCCTGACCTCTCCGGTCGACTCCCGCGATAGAGGCAAGGGGTAGGGGGAACGGCACGGGGTTGCGACGCGCAGCGTCGAAGCGAGCCACGGCGCCGTGCCAGCCGCGCTCTACTCCCTGACTGAGCTCCACCGCGCCCTTTGCGACGAAGCCCTGCATCTGCGACAATATCTCGTCAACAGGAGCCATGGCGTACGGTCCGCAGGATGTCACGACTCCTAAGCTGCACTAACAAGTGATAGCAAGCGCTGCTAGTTTATTATCCATTCAGGAAACCCTAATGAGCAGTGATAGCAGGCTCGAGGCCACTTCGCTATACGATGCACTGATACTTTGTGGTCTATTATTTTGTACATCAAAACACAAACCGTGCTACGGAAGTACAGCTTGATGCAAGTTATGCGGAACGTCTGACAAATGTATAACTGTACATGCAATCAAAACTGATTGTAAAGTTTCAGGCGAACTTTGCAGAAAATGTCGGCGCGAGTAGCGTGATGCTCCTTGCGAGTGTCAGTCTCGCAATTCTAGCGGTTGATCCTGCCAGCGCAGCATGACAGCAATGCGTCCCCCCTGACTCCCCCTGACTCCAAAAGTCGAAAAGGCTGCGTGTTGCTGTGCTGGCTGGTACAAGCTGCATCCCCCACCAATGCGCTTTGCAATCCCCAAAGTTGGATAATCCGCAACATCATGAATGATCAGAAGCCTTTATTCTTCATTCTGATCAGCACAGCTACCAACATCCTGTCGCGTTGTATTCCATACCTCCCATTTTGCAAACCTCCCAGAAGCTAGTGCTGAATATAGGCCTCAGAAAGTGTCATAGCTATGACTTCCGTCACAGTCTTAGCGTCATTGAGTTCGGCGTCGCTTGCGGTGACCGCCAAGACTTCATCGTTATCATACTCTCGGCTGGAAAAACAAGGCGTGACTCCACGCCTGGTCAAGCTGAGGAAACGTACCGATGGGTTAATTCCCTTACAAAAACGACGTCTTATTGTTAGGAGAAATGTTCTTCCAAACAATTTTGATCACCCGGGACAGCAGCCGGCGGCTAAAGAACGAGAATCCACGATTTGTGCAGCGGCAGCTGCAGGAGTTGGTCTCATCCCGCATTCTGGAGGGTGAGCACGGCAATTGGCGGGTCTTCCGTCGTCAATTATGTGAATGTGATTAACAATTACTCCTTGCACCACTTGAACAGATTGTTGGACGCAATCCAGAGCATTCCAGAACGACACCCAAGCCTCACAACAGCTACGCTTTTCTTTTTCTGGTGAGCCGAGTTTTGAATTCACTGTTACACTGTTTGTGGACTGTCATCATGAGAAAACTGTCATATGTATGCGCAGGTACTTTCTCAACGTGATTTTCAACATATTGAACAAGAATATCTACAATTACTTTCCGTATCCATAGTGAGTGCCATTTCGTATTCGACTCACATGGTACCTAACGAGAATGTACATCCTGGCTTGCACTGCGTGCAACGGAGCTTCAAAACCTCCACTTTGAGCATCTGCTTTTGTTCATGTGTATGCTTGTTCTTTCTTTTTCCCGTCAGCTTTGTGTCTGCAGTTCATCTAACAATTGGGGTCGTTTATTGTTTGATTTCTTGGGCTTTGAGGCTTCCCAAGCGTGCTGTGAGTAACCGTCACTTCTGCTCTGAAAAATATCACTCCTTGTAATACTGACGGATTTTTTCCACCTGCAGCCAATTGACAAGGGCATGCTTGTGCTCCTCGCACCAGTCGCATTCTGCCACGCCCTTGGCCATGTTATGACCAACGTGTCGTTTGCATCAGTGGCTGTGTCCTTCACGCACACGATTAAGTGTAAGCTTGTCTGTCTTGGGAGCACCGGGCAGCCGTCTCGGTTGTTTTGCTAGAAGCTTGACAAGACGGGCTTGTTTGTCGTGCAGCCCTGGAGCCGTTTTTCAACGCGGCAGCATCCCAGTTTGTCCTCGGCCAGAATGTGTCACTTCCGCTGTGGCTGTCTCTCCTCCCTGTTGTCCTTGGTGAGTGACTGCCTAGGTTTCTGGTGCGCAATGGTGATGGTGGTGACCCCGTGGAACTCCCGAGCTTTTGTGGCATGCATGAGTGCACTAAGGCAGCATCAATATTGGCCGTGCACCCATCCAAACAGAGCACCTGCAGTGGTAGTCGAATGTGTAAGGCCGAGGGGGTTTGAAACAGAAAAAAAAAAAAACATCTATTTTTCAATTGGAAGGGCCGTGCGCAGGCAGGAGAGGCTGACACGAGAGGTGTCGACCCCATCAATGAATATGCCACTCGCTGTACTGCTGCCACGCAGGTGTGCACTGATGCTGCTGGTGGTGCTGCTGGTGGTTGTGGTGGTGGTGGCAGAGGGCAGAGTGAGCGGTCGAAGGTGGAAGAGGGCGGCCAGTAGGGAGGACTTGCCTGCGCCAGTGCGGCCCGCTATGCCCACCTGTCATGCACAGAGGCGCAGAGCGGCACAGAAAAGAAAGCTTAAGGTAGGAGAAGACAGGGTTACAGAAGAGGAGCAGACGATGGGCTGGAAACTGATCAGGCACTTCCAGGCACTTCCAGGCACTTCCAGGCACTTCCAGGCACTTCCAGGCACTTCCAGGCACTTCCAGGCACTTCCAGGCACTTCCAGGCACTTCCAGGCACTTCCAGGCACTTCCAGGCACTTCCAGGCACTTCCAGGCACTTCCAGGCACTTCCAGGCACTTCCAGGCACTTCCAGGCACTTCCAGGCACTTCCAGGCACTTCCAGGCACTTCCAGGCACTTCCAGGCACTTCCAGGCACTTCCAGGCACTTCCAGGCACTTCCAGGCACTTCCAGGCACTTCCAGGCACTTCCAGGCACTTCCAGGCACTTCCAGGCACTTCCAGGCACTTCCAGGCACTTCCAGGCACTTCCAGGCACTTCCAGGCACTTCCAGGCACTTCCAGGCACTTCCAGGCACTTCCAGGCACTTCCAGGCACTTCCAGGCACTTCCAGGCACTTCCAGGCACTTCCAGGCACTTCCAGGCACTTCCAGGCACTTCCAGGCACTTCCAGGCACTTCCAGGCACTTCCAGGCACTTCCAGGCACTTCCACGGCACTTCCAGGCACTTCCACGCACTTCCAGGCACTTCCACGCACTTCCACGCACTTCCACGCACTTCCACGCACTTCCACGCACTTCCACGCACTTCCACGCACTTCCACGCACTTCCACGCACTTCCACGCACTTCCACGCACTTCCACGCACTTCCACGCACTTCCACGCACTTCCACGCACTTCCACGCACTTCCACGCACTTCCACGCACTTCCACGCACTTCCACGCACTTCCACGCACTTCCAGGCACTTCCAGGCACTTCCAGGCACTTCCAGGCACTTCCAGGCACTTCCAGGCACTTCCAGGCACTTCCAGGCACTTCCAGGCACTTCCAGGCACTTCCAGGCACTTCCAGGCACTTCCAGGCACTTCCAGGCACTTCCAGGCACTTCCAGGCACTTCCAGGCACTTCCAGGCACTTCCAGGCACTTCCAGGCACTTCCAGGCACTTCCAGGCACTTCCAGGCACTTCCAGGCACTTCCACGCACTTCCACGCACTTCCACGCACTTCCACGCACTTCCACGCACTTCCACGCACTTCCACGCACTTCCACGCACTTCCACGCACTTCCACGCACTTCCACGCACTTCCACGCACTTCCACGCACTTCCACGCCGCACTTCCACGCACTTCCACGCACTTCCAGGCACTTCCAGGCACTTCCAGGCACTTCCAGGCACTTCCAGGCACTTCCAGGCACTTCCAGGCACTTCCAGGCACTTCCAGGCACTTCCAGGCACTTCCAGGCACTTCCAGGCACTTCCAGGCACTTTCAGGAGCCCAACAGGCAAGCATGCTCAGCCTGAGCACAAGTCATCTGAGAATGCTTTCAGGCACTTCCAGGCACTTTCAGGCACTTCCAGGCACTTCCAGGCACTTCCAGGCACTTCCAGGCACTTCCAGGCACTTTCAGGAGCCCAACAGGCAAGCATGCTCAGCCTGAGCACAAGTCATCTGAGAATGCTTCAGGTGAGCTGTTCTTATCTGAGAAACCTAAACCTAACCAGCTTTAGCGTATAGAGAAGTTTCAAGAGAATTTTAACCTGAAGACCTTGACCCCAAGCCATCCCACCTGAGAGCCGCCGGGAATGAGAAAGGAGACGTCTGAGAGCACAAGAGGCAGCCCCACCCGGTACACCATGCTCACACGCCTCAACTCCACCCCCCCCTCCCTCGGCCACCCCCCCCCGCTCCTCTCCTCCTGCAACCGCAATCCCTTCCCTTGTGCATGCGCGTCCCTCCACGCACCCTCGCCATTCTGCCCTTTTGCGCCAGTGCTGCCGCGTGCTGGCAGGGGGCTCAGTGGAGGGGCGCCTGGCTCGTGCTGCAGATCCAGGTACTGCGAGGCGAGGCGGGCGCGGGAGGGAATGGGAGAGTTGAGCGGAGGAGTGTGGGAGGAGGCGAGGCTGCAGCAGGAGGCGAGGATACAACGCTTCTTCCTCCCTCCCACACTTACACCTCCCATGCACCTACCCCACCACAGTCCCCCCCAAATTGCCCTCTCACCTCCATCACGCGCTCCACTGCCACCATGTCCTCTCAGCGCGTATGCCGGCGCTAGACCCAGCTGGGGCATGAGGTGAAGGGAGAGGAGGGGGAGAGGGGGGGGGGAAGGGGGGGGGGGATTCGATCACACAGGAGAGCGAGAAGAGGAACTGGAGTGAGCAGCGACACTATGGGCAGCGCGTATGCCAACGCTAGACCCAGCTGGGGGATGGCAGGAGGGATGGGGACGAGTCTCACACAGTGTTGAGGGTGCAAGAACATCAGGAGATAGCACAAGTCCAAATGGCAGCAGTGCGGATGGCAGCAGAGCAGACAGCACTGCTTCGGATACACGTACCAGCCCGGGCGAGACTGCTGCTGTTGTGGCCACGGCAGCTCCGAAGAGGAGGCGCGGGGCAGAGAGCATGAGTGAGAGCAGCGACCGCAGTGCAGTGATCAAGCTGCGTATCACTGGCACACTGCTGAGACCCTTCAGCAACTCACGAGCCGCTGCACTGGATGCAGCACCTGATGCAGCACCTGATATAACACCTGATATAACACCTGACCATGTGCCTGCCCATGCGTTAGGGCATGCTGCCAGCCGAGCGGCTGGCGAGAGCCAGAGGGCTCAAGCGGCTGGGCCGATGCCCCATCAGCTTGTGAGGAGGAGAGGTGCTGGGAGGCAGGGGTGGCGAGGGAGAGGGATTGGAGGGCTGGCAGGAGGAGGGAGGTGTTGACGGGGAGAGGGAGGGTGCGGGCCGCATATAAAAGACAGAGGTTGATCAGACTCGGCGTAGAAAAGAAAGAGCTGCGACCAGTGAACCTCTCTTGGCCATCAGGACTGCCGTCCTGATGTTCACCCGAACACCACGATGAGGTGGAGGTTCGACGTTCGGGAAAAACTGTGTTTTCATAGCACTCAATGTCCACCACTCAATGTCCACCACTCAATGTCCACCACTCAATGTCCACCACTCAATGTCCACCACTCAATGTCCACCACTCAATGTCCACCACTCAATGTCCACACATACCGGAACCACACCGATGGCCATCGGTCACCGACGGCCATCTGTCCCACCTTGCCAGCACAAGGAGGAGCATACAGTCACTGCCTTTCGGGAACAGCACGTCTAGAGTGGATGTATTTTGAGGTGCAGAGAGAGGAAGTGGAAAAGCGCGAACTGGCACAAGACTCAAATCCACCCCCTGGCGTAGCATGAGCTTGCCCGAACCAGAGCCGGCCGGCTCGGCTCCAGCAGGGCCTATTGTGCTTTAACGCGCAGGTTCGTTACTTGAGCACCGAGGGCCGTCGCCGCGCTAGTTCCCCCGCCACCCCCGCACAACAAGCCACAAAACCACCCAAGGGTGCTGCCCTTAGGAAAGCGCACTGCATGCTTGCACCCATGCTTTACCTTTACCTTACGTACACACTCCCCGCCCAACACCCCTTCCCCTCGCCAACGCTCCTCTCCTCGCCAACGCTCCTCTCCTTGCCAACGCTCCTCTCCTTGCCAACGCTCCTCTCCTTGCCAACGCTCCTCTCCTTGCCAACGCTCCTCTCCTTGCCAACGCTCCTCTCCTTGCCAACGCTCCTCTCCTCGCCAACGCTCCTCTCCTTGCCAACGCTCCTCTCCTTGCCAACGCTCCTCTCCTCGCCAACGCTCCTCTCCTTGCCAACGCTCCTCTCCTCGCCAACGCTCCTCTCCTTGCCAACGCTCCTCTCCTTGCCAACGCTCCTCTCCTCGCCAACGCTCCTCTCCTTGCCAACGCTCCTCTCCTCGCCAACGCTCCTCTCCTCGCCAACGCTCCTCTCCTCGCCAACGCTCCTCTCCTCGCCAAAGCTCCTCTCCTCGCCAACGCTCCTCTCCTTGCCAACGCTCCTCTCCTCGCCAACGCTCCTCTCCTCGCCAACGCTCCTCTCCTCGCCAACGCTCCTCTCCTCGCCAACGCTCCTCTCCTCGCCAACGCTCCTCTCCTCGCCAACGCTCCTCTCCTCGCCAACGCTCCTCTCCTCGCCAACGCTCCTCTCCTCGCCAACGCTCCTCTCCTTGCCAACGCTCCTCTCCTCGCCAACGCTCCTCTCCTCGCCAACGCTCCTCTCCTCGCCAACGCTCCTCTCCTCGCCAACGCTCCTCTCCTCGCCAACGCTCCTCTCCTCGCCAACGCTCCTCTCCTTGCCAACGCTCCTCTCCTTGCCAACGCTCCTCTCCTTGCCAACGCTCCTCTCCTTGCCAACGCTCCTCTCCTTGCCAACGCTCCTCTCCTTGCCAACGCTCCTCTCCTCGCCAACGCTCCTCTCCTTGCCAACGCTCCTCTCCTTGCCAACGCTCCTCTCCTTGCCAACGCTCCTCTCCTTGCCAACGCTCCTCTCCTTGCCAACGCTCCTCTCCTTGCCAACGCTCCTCTCCTTGCCAACGCTCCTCTCCTTGCCAACGCTCCTCTCCTTGCCAACGCTCCTCTCCTTGCCAACGCTCCTCTCCTCGCCAACGCTCCTCTCCTTGCCAACGCTCCTCTCCTTGCCAACGCTCCTCTCCTCGCCAACGCTCCTCTCCTCGCCAACGCTCCTCCAACGCTCCTCTCCTCGCCAACGCTCCTCTCCTCGCCAACGCTCCTCTCCTCGCCAACGCTCCTCTCCTCGCCAACGCTCCTCTCCTCGCCAACGCTCCTCTCCTCGCCAACGCTCCTCTCCTCGCCAACGCTCCTCTCCTCGCCAACGCTCCTCTCCTCGCCAACGCTCCTCTCCTCGCCAACGCTCCTCTCCTCGCCAACGCTCCTCTCCTCGCCAACGCTCCTCTCCTCGCCAACGCTCCTCTCCTCGCCAACGCTCCTCTCCTCGCCAACGCTCCTCTCCTCGCCAACGCTCCTCTCCTCGCCAACGCTCCTCTCCTCGCCAACGCTCCTCTCCTCGCCAACGCTCCTCTCCTCGCCAACGCTCCTCTCCTCGCCAACGCTCCTCTCCTCGCCAACGCTCCTCTCCTCGCCAACGCTCCTCTCCTCGCCAACGCTCCTCTCCTCGCCAACGCTCCTCTCCTCGCCAACGCTCCTCTCCTCGCCAACGCTCCTCTCCTCGCCAACGCTCCTCTCCTCGCCAACGCTCCTCTCCTCGCCAACGCTCCTCTCCTCGCCAACGCTCCTCTCCTCGCCAACGCTCCTCTCCTCGCCAACGCTCCTCTCCTCGCCAACGCTCCTCTCCTCGCCAACGCTCCTCTCCTCGCCAACGCTCCTCTCCTCGCCAACGCTCCTCTCCTCGCCAACGCTCCTCTCCTCGCCAACGCTCCTCTCCTCGCCAACGCTCCTCTCCTCGCCAACGCTCCTCTCCTCGCCAACGCTCCTCTCCTCGCCAACGCTCCTCTCCTCGCCAACGCTCCTCTCCTCGCCAACGCTCCTCTCCTCGCCAACGCTCCTCTCCTCGCCAACGCTCCTCTCCTCGCCAACGCTCCTCTCCTCGCCAACGCTCCTCTCCTCGCCAACGCTCCGCTCCTCTCTCTCCTCGCCAACGCTCCGCTCCTCTCTCTCCTCGCCAGCGCTCCGCTCCTCTCTCTCCTCGCCAGCGCTCCGCTCCTCTCTCTCCTCGCCAGCGCTCCACTCCTCTCTCTCCTCGCCAGCGCTCCGCTCCTCTCTCTCCTCGCCAGCGCTCCGCTCCTCTCTCTCCTCGCCAGCGCTCCGCTCCTCTCTCTCCTCGCCAGCGCTCCGCTCCTCTCTCTCCTCGCCAGCGCTCCGCTCCTCTCTCTCCTCGCCAGCGCTCCGCTCCTCTCTCACCTCGCCAGCGCTCCGCTCCTCTCTCTCCTCGCCAGCGCTCCGCTCCTCTCTCTCCTCGCCACCGCTCCGCTCCTCTCTCTCCTCGCCACCGCTCCGCTCCTCTCTCTCCTCGCCACCGCTCCGCTCCTCTCTCTCCTCGCCACCGCTCCGCTCCTCTCTCTCCTCGCCACCGCTCCGCTCCTCTCTCTCCTCGCCACCGCTCCGCTCCTCTCTCTCCTCGCCACCGCTCCGCTCCTCTCTCTCCTCGCCACCGCTCCGCTCCTCTCTCTCCTCGCCACCGCTCCGCTCCTCTCTCTCCTCGCCACCGCTCCGCTCCTCTCTCACCTCGCCACCGCTCCGCTCCTCTCTCACCTCGCCACCGCTCCGCTCCTCTCTCTCCTCGCCACCGCTCCGCTCCTCTCTCCCCTCGCCACCGCTCCGCTCCTCTCTCTCCTCGCCACCGCTCCGCTCCTCTCTCTCCTCGCCACCGCTCCGCTCCTCTCTCTCCTCGCCACCGCTCCGCTCCTCTCTCTCCTCGCCACCGCTCCGCTCCTCTCTCTCCTCGCCACCGCTCCGCTCCTCTCTCTCCTCGCCACCGCTCCGCTCCTCTCTCACCTCGCCACCGCTCCGCTCCTCTCTCTCCTCGCCACCGCTCCGCTCCTCTCTCTCCTCGCCACCGCTCCGCTCCTCTCTCTCCTCGCCACCGCTCCGCTCCTCTCTCTCCTCGCCACCGCTCCGCTCCTCTCTCTCCTCGCCACCGCTCCGCTCCTCTCTCTCCTCGCCACCGCTCCGCTCCTCTCTCTCCTCGCCACCGCTCCGCTCCTCTCTCACCTCGCCACCGCTCCGCTCCTCTCTCTCCTCGCCACCGCTCCGCTCCTCTCTTTCCTCGCCACCGCTCCGCTCCTCTCTCTCCTCGCCACCGCTCCGCTCCTCTCTCTCCTCGCCACCGCTCCGCTCCTCTCTCTCCTCGCCACCGCTCCGCTCCTCTCTCTCCTCGCCACCGCTCCGCTCCTCTCTCACCTCGCCACCGCTCCGCTCCTCTCTCACCTCGCCACCGCTCCGCTCCTCTCTCTCCTCGCCACCGCTCCGCTCCTCTCTCCCCTCGCCACCGCTCCGCTCCTCTCTCTCCTCGCCACCGCTCCGCTCCTCTCTCTCCTCGCCACCGCTCCGCTCCTCTCTCTCCTCGCCACCGCTCCGCTCCTCTCTCTCCTCGCCACCGCTCCGCTCCTCTCTCTCCTCGCCACCGCTCCGCTCCTCTCTCTCCTCGCCACCGCTCCGCTCCTCTCTCACCTCGCCACCGCTCCGCTCCTCTCTCTCCTCGCCACCGCTCCGCTCCTCTCTCTCCTCGCCACCGCTCCGCTCCTCTCTCTCCTCGCCACCGCTCCGCTCCTCTCTCTCCTCGCCACCGCTCCGCTCCTCTCTCTCCTCGCCACCGCTCCGCTCCTCTCTCTCCTCGCCACCGCTCCGCTCCTCTCTCTCCTCGCCACCGCTCCGCTCCTCTCTCACCTCGCCACCGCTCCGCTCCTCTCTCTCCTCGCCACCGCTCCGCTCCTCTCTCTCCTCGCCACCGCTCCGCTCCTCTCTCTCCTCGCCACCGCTCCGCTCCTCTCTCTCCTCGCCACCGCTCCGCTCCTCTCTCTCCTCGCCACCGCTCCGCTCCTCTCTCTCCTCGCCACCGCTCCGCTCCTCTCTCACCTCGCCACCGCTCCGCTCCTCTCTCACCTCGCCACCGCTCCGCTCCTCTCTCTCCTCGCCACCGCTCCGCTCCTCTCTCTCCTCGCCACCGCTCCGCTCCTCTCTCTCCTCGCCACCGCTCCGCTCCTCTCTCACCTCGCCACCGCTCCGCTCCTCTCTCTCCTCGCCACCGCTCCGCTCCTCTCTCTCCTCGCCACCGCTCCGCTCCTCTCTCTCCTCGCCACCGCTCCGCTCCTCTCTCTCCTCGCCACCGCTCCGCTCCTCTCTCTCCTCGCCACCGCTCCGCTCCTCTCTCTCCTCGCCACCGCTCCGCTCCTCTCTCTCCTCGCCACCGCTCCGCTCCTCTCTCTCCTCGCCACCGCTCCGCTCCTCTCTCTCCTCGCCACCGCTCCGCTCCTCTCTCTCCTCGCCACCGCTCCGCTCCTCTCTCTCCTCGCCACCGCTCCGCTCCTCTCTCACCTCGCCACCGCTCCGCTCCTCTCTCACCTCGCCACCGCTCCGCTCCTCTCTCTCCTCGCCACCGCTCCGCTCCTCTCTCCCCTCGCCACCGCTCCGCTCCTCTCTCTCCTCGCCACCGCTCCGCTCCTCTCTCTCCTCGCCACCGCTCCGCTCCTCTCTCTCCTCGCCACCGCTCCGCTCCTCTCTCTCCTCGCCACCGCTCCGCTCCTCTCTCTCCTCGCCACCGCTCCGCTCCTCTCTCTCCTTGCCACCGCTCCGCTCCTCTCTCACCTCGCCACCGCTCCGCTCCTCTCTCTCCTCGCCACCGCTCCGCTCCTCTCTCTCCTCGCCACCGCTCCGCTCCTCTCTCTCCTCGCCACCGCTCCGCTCCTCTCTCTCCTCGCCACCGCTCCGCTCCTCTCTCTCCTCGCCACCGCTCCGCTCCTCTCTCTCCTCGCCACCGCTCCGCTCCTCTCTCTCCTCGCCACCGCTCCGCTCCTCTCTCACCTCGCCACCGCTCCGCTCCTCTCTCTCCTCGCCACCGCTCCGCTCCTCTCTCTCCTCGCCACCGCTCCGCTCCTCTCTCTCCTCGCCACCGCTCCGCTCCTCTCTCTCCTCGCCACCGCTCCGCTCCTCTCTCTCCTCGCCACCGCTCCGCTCCTCTCTCTCCTCGCCACCGCTCCGCTCCTCTCTCTCCTCGCCACCGCTCCGCTCCTCTCTCACCTCGCCACCGCTCCGCTCCTCTCTCACCTCGCCACCGCTCCGCTCCTCTCTCTCCTCGCCACCGCTCCGCTCCTCTCTCCCCTCGCCACCGCTCCGCTCCTCTCTCTCCTCGCCACCGCTCCGCTCCTCTCTCTCCTCGCCACCGCTCCGCTCCTCTCTCTCCTCGCCACCGCTCCGCTCCTCTCTCTCCTCGCCACCGCTCCGCTCCTCTCTCTCCTCGCCACCGCTCCGCTCCTCTCTCACCTCGCCACCGCTCCGCTCCTCTCTCACCTCGCCACCGCTCCGCTCCTCTCTCTCCTCGCCACCCGCTCCGCTCCTCTCTCTCCTCGCCACCGCTCCGCTCCTCTCTCTCCTCGCCACCGCTCCGCTCCTCTCTCTCCTCGCCACCGCTCCGCTCCTCTCTCTCCTCGCCACCGCTCCGCTCCTCTCTCTCCTCGCCACCGCTCCGCTCCTCTCTCTCCTCGCCACCGCTCCGCTCCTCTCTCTCCTCGCCACCGCTCCGCTCCTCTCTCTCCTCGCCACCGCTCCGCTCCTCTCTCTCCTCGCCACCGCTCCGCTCCTCTCTCTCCTCGCCACCGCTCCGCTCCGCTCTCTCCTCGCCACCGCTCCGCTCCTCTCTCTCCTCGCCACCGCTCCGCTCCTCTCTCTCCTCGCCACCGCTCCGCTCCTCTCTCTCCTCGCCAGCGCTCCGCTCCTCTCTCTCCTCGCCAGCGCTCCGCTCCTCTCTCTCCTCGCCAGCGTTCCGCTCCTCTCTCTCCTCGCCAGCGCTCCGCTCCTCTCTCTCCTCGCCAGCGCTCCGCTCCTCTCTCTCCTCGCCAGCGCTCCGCTCCTCTCTCTCCTCGCCAGCGCTCCGCTCCTCTCTCTCCTCGCCAGCGCTCCGCTCCTCTCTCTCCTCGCCAGCGCTCCGCTCCTCTCTCTCCTCGCCAGCGCTCCGCTCCTCTCTCTCCTCGCCAGCGCTCCGCTCCTCTCTCTCCTCGCCAGCGCTCCGCTCCTCTCTCTCCTCGCCAGCGCTCCGCTCCTCTCTCTCCTCGCCAGCGCTCCGCTCCTCTCTCTCCTCGCCAGCGCTCCGCTCCTCTCTCTCCTCGCCAGCGTTCCGCTCCTCTCTCTCCTCGCCACCGCTCCGCTCCTCTCTCTCCTCGCCACCGCTCCGCTCCTCTCTCTCCTCGCCACCCGCTCCGCTCCTCTCTCTCCTCGCCACCGCTCCGCTCCTCTCTCTCCTCGCCACCGCTCCGCTCCTCTCTCTCCTCGCCACCGCTCCGCTCCTCTCTCTCCTCGCCACCGCTCCGCTCCTCTCTCTCCTCGCCACCGCTCCGCTCCTCTCTCTCCTCGCCACCGCTCCGCTCCTCTCTCTCCTCGCCACCGCTCCGCTCCTCTCTCACCTCGCCACCGCTCCGCTCCTCTCTCACCTCGCCACCGCTCCGCTCCTCTCTCTCCTCGCCACCGCTCCGCTCCTCTCTCTCCTCGCCACCGCTCCGCTCCTCTCTCACCTCGCCACCGCTCCGCTCCTCTCTCTCCTCGCCACCGCTCCGCTCCTCTCTCTCCTCGCCACCGCTCCGCTCCTCTCTCTCCTCGCCACCGCTCCGCTCCTCTCTCTCCTCGCCACCGCTCCGCTCCTCTCTCTCCTCGCCACCGCTCCGCTCCTCTCTCTCCTCGCCACCGCTCCGCTCCTCTCTCTCCTCGCCACCGCTCCGCTCCTCTCTCTCCTCGCCACCGCTCCGCTCCTCTCTCTCCTCGCCACCGCTCCGCTCCTCTCTCTCCTCGCCACCGCTCCGCTCCTCTCTCTCCTCGCCACCGCTCCGCTCCTCTCTCACCTCGCCACCGCTCCGCTCCTCTCTCACCTCGCCACCGCTCCGCTCCTCTCTCTCCTCGCCACCGCTCCGCTCCTCTCTCCCCTCGCCACCGCTCCGCTCCTCTCTCTCCTCGCCACCGCTCCGCTCCTCTCTCTCCTCGCCACCGCTCCGCTCCTCTCTCTCCTCGCCACCGCTCCGCTCCTCTCTCTCCTCGCCACCGCTCCGCTCCTCTCTCTCCTCGCCACCGCTCCGCTCCTCTCTCTCCTCGCCACCGCTCCGCTCCTCTCTCACCTCGCCACCGCTCCGCTCCTCTCTC